TTATGAGTGCTTAAGTACATTCTGCTTTGTGAACAATGTACAGTACAGAGCAACCATTAAAACAGAGGTCATTTACATATTTCAGTCTTAAAGGAACAGTAACAACAACAGCCTGCTTTATTCTAAAGGATAAAGAGAGGTTGGAAAACAACCATGTAGCACTGAATTTTAATAGGGGAAAAAAAAACCCTTACTAAAGGGTTGTGTGCAAGCTGCTTGTCTGTGAGCTGTTGCTGGCTACTGTCTCAGAAAACTGCATCTAGTGTAGACCCAGTGATATTGAACATGGTATGAAATATCAACATTTTCCAAAATATTATAACCGGAACGTCAAGTATCCTGACAATAAAAGTTCACTGATAACATGAATGTTTTGATTAGTCAGAACACCCACAGAAACTCATCTGGAGACCATCTGTGTTACCTGTTAGAAAGCTCATTTGCACATTTCAGTCTTCTGAGATGAGTACTGTGACAATTAACTAATTATGTATTGTGCAAAACTATGCTTTCAATTCTTTCAAACTAAAGGAGCAGAAAGGAAAGCTCTGGCACATGAGGTAGTCAGAACCTGCCAGATATTCCTAAAGTTGAACCTTAATCATAACAAGACAAAACGGGAGAACTGTAAAGAGGGACCTTGAGAGAAGGAAAGTGAAGGAAGAAGGATGGAAGGAAGACAGGAGTGGACAGAAGCAGAATGCTGAGTTAGGTACTTTTCTTTTTTAGCATAAACCTGGCATGCTTTGAATCTCAATGAGCAGCAGGGCTGTCCATTTTGGGTCAGCAAACATTTTGAACACACTGTCAAACAGAACAAGACACGCATCTCAGCAATAAACAATCCGAAATGTCAGTGCAATTGTCTTGCATACAAAAGGGGTCTATACCTCCAGCTCAAAATCTAACACTGGAACTCTACACAAGGATGTACGTAAAAGCTCATGAAAAGCACATAAGAATTAGGGGTCAAAATCAGAATCGTTTGATTTTCACTCCCAACACAATCAGCAAGTGGCTGATTTATTTAAAGCATTTCAGCCAACATGTTGTGATTTCAAGACGTACATAATATGAGCCAGTAGATGGAAACTGCATTTTTTTTCCCTTTGCTACCTTTTAAATACAGTCACCGAGCACTTTATTAGGGACACTACACCAATACTGGGTAGAGCCTCCCTTTGCTTTCAGTTCTCTGTGTCATGGATTCCGCAAGATGTTGGAAACATTCCTTCAAAACTCTGATCCATCTTGACATGACAGCATCATATAATTCCTGAATCTACTACAACCCAATGGTGTTCTATTGGATTTAGATTCGGTGACTGGGAAGGCCACTGAAGAACACTATACTCATGGTCATGTTCATGAAACCAATTTGAAATTACTTTTGCTTTGTGACATGGTGCATTATAATGATGGAAGTAGCCATTAGAAAACAGATAAATAGTAGCCATGAAGAAACCCACAAAGTTGGCAACAGTAATCAAATACGCTGCAACATTCAAGTGATGACTGATTCGTATTAACAGACCCAAAGTATGCTATGGTTGGGTCTATGGATTCATGTTGTTGGTGCCAAATTTTGACCCCACCATCTGCGTGCCTCATCGGAAATCAAGGTTCATCAGCACAGACAATATTTTTCTAGTCTTCAACTGTCCAGTTTTCATGAGCTTGTGCCCACTGCAGCCTTAGTTTTATGTTCTCGGCTAACAGAAGTGGAACCCAATGTGATCTTCTGCTGTTGTAGCCCATCCACATTAAGGTTTGACATGTTGAGATCATGTTTTTTCCCATTCTGAAGATTGATGTGAACATTACATGAAGTTGCTGGCCCATATCTGCATGATTTTATGCACTACATTGCTGCCATGTGATTAGCTGATTAGATGATTACATGAATGAGTAGGTATACAGGTGCTCTTAATAAAATGCTTGATAAGTGTAAATAGTATTATACCATCCCAATATGAAAAAACATTCTGAAATTCTTGGGGCTCTTTTTCTGTAGTCATCTCCATAACCACCTAGCCCAACCTGTACTGACATAAAACATGGGATATTCCTGAATGTTCATGAGCTTTTTCAATATTTCATGAATTCATGCAAAAACATTCACTTTGTAAACAGCCCCTTTTGTCTGCTAATATAATGCTAACGCATCAATGTTTTTTTCAATGTTATTTTGGCACCATGCTAATGCACTGTACCCACACTGGCTTTAATTTTACTTACAGCAATTTTGACATTTGAAGCTTGTAAGATGTACTTGTAACATGCTCTGTACATAATATATTGCAGTTTTACATTGAATCTTACTGTAAATATTTAATCTTGACACCTAAATTTTAATAGTGGAGAAGGCTTTAAGCAATCTGCTAAGCTTGCTGTTAGAACAAATAACGTTCTTTAAAAGGAAATGTTTACAATGGTTTCAGGCTGTTTACTTCATACATACGCAATTCACAAACGCGTGCATTGTTTATTGTCTCATGTTCTGTGCTGAAAAACTGAACTACAAAGGTGCTAGGACTGATATACAACTGATATGTTTGTAATGGCTATTTGTAGGGCACATTTTCTATGAAAATGCACACTATCTTAATGCTTCATCTGATGTGTACACATGCCCGTGCATCTGTGTTTCATATCGTATGTTCATTTAGCCAATTCAGTGCGAGCTTCTGGTAGAAAAAGTATGCATGTTATTGTCTGTTACTGGACAAAGCACTGGCTAATACAAATCACCTCAAAAAATCATCCATCTGCCAACTCACCAATAAGTATACAATCAGAATCAGCCAATGGAGTAAATGTTAGCCTCAACATTATTCCTCTGTTTCGCAAAAAAAAAACAAAAAATCTTGCAACCCGGCTTACACCTTCGGAAGAAGGCCGAAGCAAGTGAGAAAAGAAAAAAGCAGCACCTTCCATTTTTGGGTAGAAAACGTCTTCTGCATTGTGAGACATAAAGTACTAATAAAAAAATGCAACTGGTCAGTGTTTTTAAAAAAAACTGATATCCACAATTTGCTCAGAAAACCATATTGTTTATTACAATAACAAAATTCATCACAATAATGACAGTCATATTGCCCAACTCCATTGACAACTATATCTTTAGCCTCTGCAATGATCAACCTCTGAGAGTTCTAAAATTCACCACTCATTACTAGCTCAAATTTTAAACAAACAAAAATGCCATGGCTGTGGATAGCTTTGACACAATGTACCTCAGCAACTCTCCAAAGCACAACCATGTGTGATTTCCTCACATCACACTTTCTCTCAAAGAACACTGCTGAAATAGTCGTCTATATTTTAACTTTTAATAGTTAAGTTTGGCAGCTTTGTCCTCTTGAAAAGTGGGCCCGAACCTTATTTTTTGGCTGCATTCTTCCTATTTAGTAGGTCTGTCTGGAAAGACAAATTATCTGAAGTTCCCTCATGTGTACAATTTATAAACACTCATCAATTTAAATGATAGGCCACCCTACTCAAAAAGGAATTTTTGTTTACTTGAAATGAAATAAAACGTTTTTAACTGACACCACTGGTCGAACAATTGATCAAATCTCTACATGCAACTACATGCTTGAAAAAACTCCTATTTTTCCATTTCCCTGATGATGAAAACTTCCTGCTTAATTGGTCAAAATGTTAACACATACAAATACAGCACATACAACAGAAACATTGGTGGGTATAACAAATGCATATACTTGTAACTGCTTACTTTGTCTTGGCTCTTTTTCTCGACTATATCAAGAACGTTCAAGCCTGCTATGACAGAATTACACTTTTTGCTCTTTCCATAATAACATGGCAAAACATGTATATCTCCAGTGAGACGGCATTTAGGGAAGGCCTGGAAAGGAATTTGTAACAAGTATTCTAAATATACTCCCAAATTAGACAGTTTAACGCATTCAAGCCCTGAGGAGGCAAAAGAGAAAGAGAAACTAAGGCCTGCAATATCTGTTCCAAGAAAAAAAGTAATCATAAAAACATATTATGGACCTAGAGGAAAACAGAAATCCAACTCCCTCCCGCTTGAATACAGCAGCTGCCTCGGCTCGGGCTACAACTTAATTACAGTATGCAGTGTTAGTAGTCATTTTAATGACCAGCAGATCTGGCAGTTTCCTTCACATTTATTTAGAAGAAGAAGAAGACACTGTGTTTCCACTGGCCTGTTAAAGGACTCCTCAAGCCAGGAAACTACCACGCATACTCACTACAAACAGACACACAGGAAAGCAGATATGCAGGTAAAACACACCATAGTCTGTGGTTTAACCAATATTACCAAAACCAAATTACCATAATACAGTTGTTACATATGCCAGCTTTACACTTCTGAGATGCCAACATCTGCCATTTCTTCTTAAGAACAGTTGATGAATGAGGCCCAATGCTACTAAATCTATAAATAACTGAGAGGTGCTTACATGGAAACAGCGTTTTATACATACAGGCCATACAAGTGTACTGATGGGCAAGTATACTTTGGCCCTTTTGAAAAACATCGAATATCTCAAAATTCATTTGTTTGAACAAATTCACTACAAACTACAAATATTTTTTTCCCTGTGGTCATTCTCCACAACCTAAACCTTCACTTTAAAACAAGTTTCTTTATCCAACTCCTGTCATCATGATAATGCTAAATTTTCTTAGCTATCCATATATTCAAACAACCTCCTCCACCCACCACGGTGACCACCTCTCCAAGCTTTGTATCAGACGTGTGGAAAAACACTGAATGTCAGTGCTCAACGAATTTACCAACAAATAATGGTAAGCATTTTCCGGTCTGTGACTGAAAACACAGTTTCCAGTTCCTTAACCTTTAACCTCCAAGGTGCCTCATTTGCTGTTTACTGTTGCCTATTAAATTTCAAATTTCATAACTGAGTCAGATCAAGCTCATTTCAAAGTAATCTAACCCAAAATAACAAGCCCCTTGCGAAACACTGGGGCTTCTCATTACTTACCAACATAGTGCAGATAGAGGGCCAGGTACTTGTACTGGAAAAGTGGGTTGTTGTTGAGGCTGCTTCTCTGGATTTTCTGGAAGAACGAGCTGACGTCCCAGCGGTACAGCACCTCCAGCAGCATGATGCTGGGTATGCGCAGACCCACATTTAGCACTGCCTCCAGACGCGTCCTCATGGCCATGGCCACTGGGGCTATCCTCAACACTAGCTAACAGGGAACAGAAAAAAGTTGTTAGAAATTAAACGGCAAAGAGAATTGCTGCATTACACTGCAGTTACTCCAGACTATCGTCTCGCACCAGAGTGTTGCAAAAATCAGGCAAGTATAGGCGGTCCTGATGTGATTTTGAAAAAAATATCCAGTTTGGTTAAAAGCTAACATGAGCGACAAGTGGCATTATGTTGTCTGAGGAACAGCTCATCCTTTTATTTTGTTTTGTTTATTTGTTTGTTTTTTTGTTTTTTTAAGGAAGAAGTAACCACAGCTTGCCATTTTGTGTTCTATTGGCTCACGGTTCTGCAGTCTTGAGGATTCACAGTTAAAGTTTACCTAGATAAACTTGGGGCAAAACTAAATTAACTGCTAATGGAAGCATTATGCTTTTTTGCCTTTTTTATGTCTTTTCGCATTCAAATGAATTGGCGCTTTCACCAAGCAAATTGTACTTGCATTTGGTATGACCGCAGCTTTTGTCAAGGCCTCAAGCTCCAAGAATGTCAGCGCAAGAACAAGCCTAAAACTGCAATACTAAGATCATAGCTCCAATTATTGAGACACAGCTGACAAAAATCCAACCAAAGCAGCAGAGAACAGAGACCATGAGCAAAAAGGAACAAAGATCAAATATATGAAAAAGAGACTGCTGCATGTTAACCATAGGGGAGAGAACAAAAAAAGTAGCGTACACAGGAATCACTAAGGAAAACAACAGTTTGCATGGTCCTGAACTGTGCATGGCACTGGAATGTAACCTGATGGATCATTCAGAGATGACAAGTTTATGCAAGTACTTTGCAAAGATCGGGAGATAGGATGAAGACGCAGGCTGCTCTGAATAGATTAACATGCAAAAGGCTACAAAGAAGTGACACGTAAAAAAGAACTACAGAAAAAAGGAAAATCAGAGGCATTTTAGGGCTAGCAATTAAGTCAAACCCCTCAGCATGGATCCCAAAAATCACCACTTTGCACTTAAACAGTAAATTACTTTGCTACATTGACAACCCACATAGCATGTACACTGGAGATGTAAAAATTGTAACAATGTGCTAAGTGTGATAATAATAACAAACTACAGTTATATCATTATTATTAATGTGATAAATCACTATTGTTATCATACTCACTTCATTGTTTACTAGGGATTCACAGTATTAAAAAAAAGTCACAGCAAAACTTAAGTCACAAGTACATAAAGTAGGGCTCGGTTACAATGACAAAATGTAATATCATGATTGGATACCATTAAACAAATTAATAAGTTAGCATTAAAAAGTAAACTACTCTATTTGTCCTGAGTATTAGTACTCTGTTTGAAACGAAGATCCTACAACCCTGATCTAGCTTTTGACTGAACTGTTTGGTTCTGTTTTCCTTTCTTAGAATGACACAAAATGAAGCCTTCCACAGTACTGTAGTTAAATGTTAAAACAGAAAGTAATTCGAATAGGAAACGTTGTTTATTTAAATCAGCACTTGCTGCAATGTTGGCAACTTGACAAAACACTCATAATGAAGTCAGTAAAATATTCATCACGTAGCCTACCTCGTTTACTTGATGAACAGACAGTGAAACGGAGCTTTTCGAACCGTTACATAACTCGCTACCTCTACGGCAAAGGCAGAGCCACAAACTCATCGACACTGGGCGATTTTTATATTCGTTTTCTGGCTTTTAAGAGAGGATCATCCCCCACAACCGATGTGAGAAATGAAACCAACAAGTGTGCATCAAAGAGCCCTTGGTTCGTTCACACTTCTCGGGATTAACATTTCGAGATTATTTCCGCAGTTAAACCAGCTAAGCGTTAATACGACCGAAAATCATGAACTACAGTAACCCCGTCGTCGAGTCAGCACTCCCCCATTTCCAAGCCTAGGCAAGCTGAATGGAAAAAGAAAACACTATGGAAGCAAGTGCCCACCGTGGGCGAACAACTGGCCACTTTCTCGCACGCAAAGCCTTTGTAATAAACAGTAAAAGCAGCTAGTTATACAGCTCAGAATGTATACCAGACATTAGGTAGGTACTTCCCATTTTAAGCAGTATAACAATACGTCAATAATTCTACAGTGCCTTTGGTCAGGCCCTCAAAGAAAGCTGAATCGGTAACGTTACTTGGCGCAGCGTAGTTAATATTTAGAGCCCAGCAGTCGTTAGCAGTTAGCTAGCGCTGGCGTTGTTATCACGAAGACGCCCCTCTTAATGACAATTTAATTAAATACTCACATGATAACACTTCACTTAACGGTATTCAGTCCAGTCTTGTTAAACTTCTCTGCTCGAATATCTACCATTTTAACTCAGTTGTGAGACGTAATCAGTCTATTACGACCAAAGTTTCGGCAGAAGACAAGAAGACACCGCTTTTCGCTCGCACCATCTGGCAGCCATTACAAGAATTTTTTTCTGCGTTGAGCATGCGCAAATCTCACGTTGAAGAAATGGACAAAGCTACTGCATGAGAGAAAGTAGGAACACTAGAGGGCTCCAAACCTCAAGATGTCAGAAGCAGAGAATGGCAACTGCACTGTCCTTAGCTTAACTGCGGTTTAGAGTTTATCATGAGACAAACCCTGGATGAGTGGCGTGGGTTCTTGAAGTCCATTTCAGTGTGCTTGCAAGCTGCCATTTAACGGGCACCTGCAGTTTAAGTTAAACCCAACTGCTTCGTCGTTTAAAAACTCTTCCGTTACATGTTGCTGTATATAGAGTTTAACTGAGGTTTATCTTAAACCCGTTACAGACATGGTTTTAAAATTTAAGGCAAAATTATTGCAAATAAAACAATCTTCAGCTCGGATATTTTAGTGTTCCATATATAAGCCTATTGTAGTGCCAGCAAAGAAGACATAGGAAACATTGGGCCTCATTCACCAACCATTCTTAAGAAGAAATATTTTTTTTAAAACCCATTTATGAAATTTTCACAAAGATTCTGACATTCACCAATGTTTTCTTATTTACACATACTCGACAGCACAAAAGTGTGAACAAGTCTGCGGTTCAAGCATGTGTCATGAATCTGACAAACCTTTTCTTACGATCTTTCTCAAGACCACATAGAAAGATACTAATAAATGAGGCCTATTATGCTTTAAAGGCAAATGCTTTTTTTTGTCGAACAGGAAGCAAGAAAGAACCTCCACCTACGTCTGGCTGACATGGCTGAGAAGTAGGCAGGTCACTTCTAGTCATACACTTCCTCTTTATGGTAGGCGCTAACTACTCAACAACCTAGGACAGAACTGCAACAATACTGCTGCACTAGTAACTTCCACAACAACAGCATCAGAGGATTAAAGTTCATCTCAATTCTTTTTTAACGTACCCTCGCCCACTTACTCAGATGTGCGTCAGTCCTACATTACACAAGTGGCCACTCTCACACAAGTGGAAGAGGGAGCGTGGCACATCCCAAGAGCCTCTTTGCATGGCCACTTTACATGACCACGCCTCCCACGCTCCTACAGTAGCGTCCAGCTATACAGAGGCCTCCACGCTAGCTTCCACCATAATGTTTTGCGGGCTTCAGTCAAGTTTTAATCAAAGGCAATATTATTTAATGAAACACTTAAATTAATTGCATTTAGTTTAATGTAGGCTAATAACTTTAAAAAAAACAAAGCACATATTTGAAAGACTGATTAGTAGATTATATTTTTGTGCATTTAAAAGACATGAAACTAACATAAAGAAGACAGACCCGGTGGTGGGCACAACTTTGTTAAGAATAGGGACGAAGGGGTGAGCTGTGAATTTTTTTAGAAAATAGAGACATTTTTGGAGTAATCTCCATTAGGCATGTCATGTGGCCACGTTACTTTTTGCTGTTGTCAGAACTTTTATTAAAGCAACAAGCCACAAAAGATTGTGCATATCTGTATCAGGATATGGATTCACGTTGCATTGTTCCTAACACCCATTAACATAGAAAAATCACAGCCCACTAGTGCATTATTACATTTATAAAATAGAAACAAAATAGAATAGGATAAAATAGTGTTCAATAATTAAATTTGTTACCATTATTAATCACAGCAGTACGTTCCTCAGTAAAGCCATGTAGTTCTTTGACAGCAGGCTTTTAATAAATTGATTTTAAAAATAATTTTAGCTTAGAATATGTCATAGCCAGTCAGTTTTTAGAATTTGAACTATCCTTTTCATTCATATTAAGTAGTAAGTCATAAAAAGATAGGCTAAACAACATTATATTATTATTTCATGTAATAATTGTGAATAATAATTGTGCATTAAAGCACTTAGATAGCAAAATATGTCTTTATTACGCAGCGTTTTGTCTTCTTCTACAGAATGTTGCACTCAATGGCTGTTCGTGGTGCTTTGCGTCCTCTGTTCTATTTACATTGAAAAGCCAGTGGGTGTCGCTGGTAAGTTGCATCTCCCACACCTAGAGTGACATCCAGGGACACTTGAGATCTACAGGGAGAGTGTCATCAGGTAAATATAGATGCTTTCATAACACAAAAATCAGTCTTTTGGATGGAAATACTGACACTTCAGATCACGTAGACGTAAGAAAAGTTTTTATTATAAGATGTACCCCTTTTTTCCGCCTTTATCAACATTAAAACTACACAACATTAGAAATAAAAACTAAAAAGACGTGTAGGTTGAGTGGTCGTTTTGGAGATCAAAGAAAAATGGCTATGTGTTGTAGCCATTGCAAAAAAAAGGCTCCTATCATCTCCACTGAAAAGAAATCAGAGTTGGTGAGTTTCTTTTTAATGCACCATTTCAAATCAAACCATTCGGAATGACTGTTTACATCTCAAACACTGAATTATGACTCTGTTTACATCTCAACCATTGAATTACGCAGATTTGAAACATTAGCGGAATACCCTTGAAAGTTTAAACTTCTAATATTGCTAAATGGCTCTACTCTGTACTTCACAGGTCGTGGAATACCCGCTTCTACCCCCAAACAGAGCACTCTGCGTCTAGTAAAAAAGCCACTCTAGTTTCAGCCTTGCGGGATGCAGGAGATATTAAGCTGCTCGAATATCTCAGAGCTCTCTCATCGCTGCCATTTTTTCCTCACCGCTGCACTTGTTACATTGATGCTAGTGAGGAAGTGGTGACAGCTAGCAGCCGCAAAAAACGACAACGGCTTCAGAGCCGAGAGGCTCCGTGTGTGTGAGAGAGAGAGAGAGAGTGCTGTGTGGAGTAGCTGCTATGGATGCCATCGGGGTTTTACATACGAATCCGCTGGACGACTATGAGCTGCTCCACCGCATTGGGAGCGGCACCTACGGGGACGTGTTCAAGGTGGGCTACGGTTCGACCGCCTTTCTGACAGCCGAGGGCATTTCTGCGTACAAACTCTGAAAAAGAGCTACCTGTTTTACGGTTTCCAACTCTGCTATCAGTGTCGGCTAAGACAAGGCTTTAATGGGTGTTATTCCGAAGGCTAGCTACAGTTTAGTATTTGTAGGAGGGGTTTTGTGGACCGAGTTATTTTGAGCTGCGGGGTAGATTTTGTTTCCTTAGTTTGGTGTAGCTAATTGCTTTCAAACGCTAAGCGTTCAAAATGGATGAACCGTTGTTAGTTGGTGACATCGTCTTGTCAGAGATATCGAAGAAGCAGCAGAAGTCCTTTGGGGTGGAGAAGTGTTTTGAATGAGCTGCATTAGTTCAATTTCATAGATGTGTCGTGTGTGCTAGCTGTTAGACCACAGGAAGCCCTGATTTCACGGCACGTCCATGGGGTCGTTCACCTGGGTGCATGTTTGATGTGGTCTGTAGAAGTGAAAGATGTGGACTTCACTGCGAATTCACGTTTGTGACAGAGGGACATGAAATCTGCATGTGTGTATGAAATTAGGTCTTTGTATGATTAAAATGTTTCCTGGATGAGAAGAAAAGTAAAGATTTTGAAGTTGTGGGAGCATTTGGTTGATTCTCATATGAAAAATACTGTTACACAAAAATTCAGCTTTTAGCTAATGGTTAATGCTGTTACTAGGGATGCACCGATGTGGGAGTTGTGGGCCGATGCTGATACACAAAATGTTTCATGGACAAATCTGCTTATGCTGAGACATAAACTTTTTTTTAAAAGGTAGAAATTGGGACTACATCTACCTGGATTAGCATTATGGATAAATATGGCATTTACTTTGATAGAAAATGAATAAAATGCAAACAGTTTACAAATATCTGATCTAAACATCTGCCTGATGCCAATATTTTTTAAAGCCATTAAGTGCCAAAGCTGGTATCATTCTGATATCATTGTGCAACCCTGTTGTGTTGTTAATTTGGCTGTGAAGACACAGTAAAAATCAATAATACAGAAGTCAACTGACATACTCTACAAAGGCAGTAATGCAGTGAGAGCGAAGCTGGCTGCTTCACAGTGTGTCACAATATGTGACATACTGTACGCTTCAAGTCATGTGCAACAGGAAAACCAAACACACCACCAAATAGGGTATTATAGCAGCATGGGAAATATGAGACCCACAATCATAAGAAATAAATAAATAAAATACTTCTTGGGCAAACAAAATGCATGCTTTCTGTTGCCTAAATTTTAGTGCCCTTCCACTTTTTTTACGGCCTTATTTTTAACATCTATGAAATTCCACGTAGGCTTACTGCTACTTATTACTGCCGTAATATTGAATTCATGTAGGATAATTTTATTCTGTCCTCACTGACTAACGGCTGCCTGACCAACAACTGGCCGCCATTGTGCCTATCTCACCATGTGTTTTGATTTCACACAGAGAAAGATGTCACAGGATGCGATTTGGTCGAACAGGAAAGAAAACAGGAAATGAGTAGTGCTGCTTTTTTTTCTCTCAATTTCACCTTTCCAGTGTCGACTGATCTGCCATTGGCTGGTGCTGTCACCGTGGTTACAAGCAGGCAGCTTCCCACGACTTGGTGACCAGTGTATGAAGCCGGAGCCAAACATGCCCCTGAGCAATATCTCACACTCTGAAATCTATTATTGCTAGACGTAATGCTACAAGAAGAGTCGTTATATTTCCAAAGCTTAAGACCTATGAGCTGTTTGATTCATATGTAGTGAAAAGATGTAAAAGGGTGAAATACATATGCAATATATAAGTACTCACTGAATGGCTTTACCTTGTTCATCAGGACCACTGCTGATCAGGTACTATTTGGGTGGTGGACCATTCTCAGCGCAGCAATTACCCTGACATGGTAGCAGCATGCTAAAGTGAGAACATTTGACATGTCCCACTAGAAATTCACCTTAACTTACCTTGTATTATATATTGCTTTTTAAATTCTTATTTTCCTTATAAATTGTATTTTTGAAGTATTTTAACACAGTATACTGTAAGGTAAAAGACATTTTTAAAAACTGGATTCGAAACCTACCTACGTTCTTTATTTATATACACTTTTGGCATTGAGGGTCCCCCCAAGAAAAACATTTTTGGCACCCTGGGGCTAAAGGATGTCTAACATGAATTGTGTAAAAAGATAAGCTGTAGTTTCTAACCATACACTTACAATTTGTGTCGCCAAAGTAGACATCTAATAAAGTGGACATAGTAATTAATAAATTCCAGCAACTCTGCTGTGCCTGATGCAGTTGTACCAATGCAACACTCATTACTATGCCTCTACTATGTCAGTGTTACTGCTGTGCTGAGAATGATCCACTAAACAAATAATACCTGGTCAGTGGTGGGCCTGTGGTGGTCCTTTTTATTGATGGACATGGTAGGGGGTGCAAAATACCTACAAACTTCCCCCTATATGGTAGTTGTACCTGATAAATAGGACAATGAGTTCAGATAAGAGGTACCTAATGCCTTATATACCTTATGTACCTAATAAACTCGCTGTATGTTTTTGTGCTTGTTCCATGTAGTCTCTCTGATGATCTCTTATGAGCAGTAGCAGCAGGTTAGAGTTACAAATTCATTTTTTAAGTGCTCAGTACTGGAAGATAAGTAATCTACCACGCATGTGGCATGTGTGATGTGGTATACGAAGTGATGCAAATGTGCTTACTTGATTTCTAATCAGCAAGGCCTTGGTTAGCCTCTTTTGACTAGTCGTTCTCTCCGGATGTACTGTGTTACATGGTAATGGTTGTACAGTTCCTTTAAGGTTTCTGACTCTAACTTCATTAAGGTGAAAGTGTGGTGGCAAACCTGACCTTCCTCTTTATGTGGAGATTCTGCTTCATTCCGCTTTCAATATTCACATCAGTGAACCTCTCAGTTCTGCTGGCACCTATCGACATTGAGCCAAATGGCCCCAGTTCAGAGAAGGAAAAATGAATTGCTGTTTGCTAAACTCTTGATAGCACTGGCTGAATTTTAGCCTTTTAGCCAAGAAGCTCTGGTTCAACCATTATTAAACATGACAGTTCGAGAGCTTATGCCACATACATATGGATTGTACATATGTTTACTTATATTACACTGTATTTTGTACATGAAGTGCAAAGTGTGCAAAAGTCTTAGGCTGCCATTAAAATTAAATAGTAAAAGAATTTATGTCAGCAGTATGTTTTTGCCTGTCAAAACCACTATAATAGAAATTAGAATAAATACAAGTGAACATAAATACAGTAAACAGTAACAAAAAAGTTCTAATATGTTTAGAAGAATACAGTTAGAAGAACACAGGTCTGCTTCTTGACTTCTCAGTGCAATCCTCAAAGTTTTGGAACAAAACTAAATATCTTCAAAGACAAAAATGAAGATACAAGGTTTTGTTCCAACAGCCGCAATGCAGTTATGTTCATATTAGCTGCACTTAATATTTGACAGCATCTGTTGCTGTGTGGGCCTCTCTGGGGATGTGAAAAAGACGGAAGGAATGTTGCAATGAAGCTGTTGTAGAATTAAATGGCAACACAATGTGAACAGTATAAGCAGCCAAGAGCACTCAATATTGGTATCTCTGAAAAAACTTTCAGAAGTTAACATGATTTGTCTGAATAGACAACTGCTTTTTGTTTTAACATGATTCGCCTGTATTAATCTACTTTTTGTTTTGTTTGTAGGCTCGTAATATCAAGACATCAGTCATCTCAGCCATCAAAGTAGTCAAACTGGACCCTGGTAGGTCAATGTAGCATGAAATGTACATTGTCTCCCCTTTATAAAGAGCTACATACTATCTTTATGTATTATGGGTGTAAAGTGTCACCTTCAATTCAACCCTACTGTGTATATTGTCTGTCCATATTTACAGTGAGGGGAAACAAGTATTCAGACACTTTTGTTTTTGTTATTTAATATACTTGCAGTACATACCCCCACTTTAAATGTGCACCCATTTTTGGACTTTGTACCGAAAAAGTACCTATTCATATGTATAAATAAAGTTATGATTAAAAAAATGAATTTGATGGGAAAAAAGTAGTCAGAAGCTATATTAAAATATACATGTATGTAAAGGTTAAAAAATTTAAAAGGTTCTATTTTATACATACATACATACATACATCATCTAAACCGCTTATCCTTCTGGGTCACGGTGGGGTCCTGGAGCCTATCCCAGCTGTCATTGGGCGGAAGGCAGGATACACCCTGGACAGGTCGCCAGTCCATCGCAGGGCGGTTCTATTTTATAGTGCTGCAAAAATAAAAAATAATAAAAATATTCTCATGCGCATTGCATCTACTGTGAAAAAGGGAAGACTTTGCCATTGGTGGCAAACATTCAGTTGAAAAAAGCTGCAGAGCCATAGCCAAGATTTTAAAAACCTTTGTCAGTACAGTTGGATTGATAACATGCAATTGGAAAGTTCATCGATCCACAACTGTTCGTCCCCAGACGGGTGTACCACGCAAGATTTCTGTCAGACTAATGAGAAGGAAGTTAAGAGAGAAGCCAGCAGTCACTTGAGTTACAGGATGACCTGAGAAGCAGAAGGAACCACAGTTACACAGAGAACAATAAGCAGTTAACTGCACTGTAGTCATCTCTGGTCCTACAACCCACGCAAAACTCTTCTGCTAAAAAGGGAGCACAGAGATGTGCATCTAAAATTTGCACACAAGCATTTAGACACATCAATACTCTGGTCAGATGAAACAAAAATATAGAAAGTCTTTGGTACTAATTCTTCTCATCATGTTTGGAGACGGAAGGGTTGCACATATGATAAAAAAAACATAAAATATAAACATTCACCCACAGTGAAGGTGGGAGGATTTGTCTTCTGGGAACAGTGCTGGGACATTACACATCATCAAAGGAAACATAAATGGAACAATGTACTGGGACACATTAGAGGAGGATTTAATCTAATGGGCAGATGAACATTTCAACAAGATAGTGACCCCAAACATAGAGCCAAAATAATTCAAGACCTCTAAGACATGTGAAGGTGCTTGCATGGCCTAGCCAATCTCCTGACTTGAATCCCATAGAAAATTTATTTTGAAATTGAATTAAATTAGAGGGATCCTTGTAACTTTGGGGAATTCAAGATGTTTTACCAAAAGGAATGGGCCAAAATTGAGCCACAATGCTGGAAAAAGCTAATTACTTCTTACCATAGATGTCTCAAAACTGTAATTGCCAACAACTGCTTTGCACCAAAGTTAATAATTTGTCAAAAAATATGTGTGTAAATTTTAGGTGAATATATGCACTGGAAGTTTATTAAATAACAACTTTTATTAAATATCAAAAACACAAGTGTGTGAATACAATTTTCCTCTCACTGTATATTTAATTTATTCATGTATGTGATCTAAAAAAATAACATGCCAACATTAACGTTGACTGCACTTAAGAGCTTCACCCCAAAGATATACCACCTAAAGTCACAGATGAGGAGAGGATCGATGTCTGGAAGGAAGTTTGAGTCCCACATTCTGCAGTCCTCTCCTCAGTTCATTATTCATCCCCACACCACCTGAAAATGTATGCTTTTCACAGCCTGAAAATGTATGCTTTGTTATTCATAAAGTACATGCTATTTTGATGCCAGTTTGGCATTTGTTATGATATTGCCAGATATTTTATGATGCTGAATCATATATGGCAGCATCTGGTCCTCAGCTCAAGCTCATAATCCTAGTTGATCTAAATCAGTGTTTGCAGGCCTGTGCCTCAAACAAAACATTACACAGCCATAAGCAGCCCTCCTGAGGTCAGATTACAGACTAGACTCACTCTCTGCCTGTCTGCATTGCAGGGGACGACATTTCAAGCATTCAGCAGGAGATTACCATGATGAAGGACTGCACTCATAAAAACATTGTGGCCTATTTTGGCAGCTACCTCAGGTTTGTTCCTCAGTCATTTATAATCTATAACCAAACATGAAAACATGATTTTATCATCTGATCATCGATCAAAACAAAGGTTATGGTGCTATTGATGTTCAAAACTTCAATTTCAACAGAAACAACAAATTATGGATCTGCATGGAGTTCTGTGGAGGAGGGTCATTACAAGACATCTACCATGGTAATGCTTAGCAGAGTTCACTGTTCACCAATGTGAGGTGGGCGACATGGAAACATTGCAATACTTGAAAATGTATTCAAAATACAGAATACATGTCACAATATTTTGTTTTTCTGAGATTTGTGAACAAGTTTTGAGTGGACAAATGTGCACCATTGAAACAGTAGTGCTTCACTCAAAAAGCATATGAATTAGGAAATGAATCCATTAAATCTGAACTATGATTACAATGTTTTTTATTCAGCATTCACAAAAATAAACTATTTAAGTAGGAACAGGAGGAAAATCACTTGGTTTAAATTAGTTAATAAAAAAGGTGGCTTACTGGGTTGGCATCTTACCATACACTGGTTGATGTGTACAGGCTCTCTATAATTGGTTTAAATCTGTAAATGATACATACAGTTGTTTAGTGTTCTAGAAGTACTAATGGAAATCAGCATGTTTTGAAGTACTTTATCACACTAAAGTGGCATTCTGGCCTAATGCTAGAGTTTAATGTCATTACCTGTGTTACGCAGCATTCTGTAGCACAGCATTTTATTCCTCAGCCTCATTATTTTGACAGAATTCATGATATTATTTTTTCATGTTTTGTTCATTAGTGTCCTTGTACTACAATACCCAGCATGCATTGAACAAAAATACAACCCTCAGAAATCCCTATGGTGCTTAGCCAATTATGACTGCTAGCCTAGCCACTAATCTAATCAGTACAGCCAAGCTAGCATGAGTGTAACTCTTACTTTGGCCATCAAACAAGGTTGCTTTTTCTGTTTTCAGAGTGCAGTTTTTTTCTAAGTGCAGTATACCTAAAGTGGAAAATATGAAGAGGCAAAGGCTAAAGCACAGCTGGCTAGTGTACTGCCTAACATTAACACCAGAGACTGGGGTTTGGTTCCATGAGCAAGACGGCTATCATTCTTATCTTTCTGTAAGAGCATCTGCTAAATATGCAAAGCTCCAATAAAGCAGATCATTAAAAAACAGCACAAAGTGGATGCAAGAGACAGGTTTTTAGCCTTTCAGCCAGATAAATGAAGCCTAATTTAGGGAAGGTATCTAGATAAGCAGGTAGCTTTTAGTTTGGCAAGTCATTTCTGTTGTTTGAATAATCTGGATGCAATAAGATATTAGAAATCCTAAAAGTATCATTAGTTATCTGTTTTTTTCTGCGTTTCCCAGTAAAAAAAAAACACATTTCAAACATTGCACCCCCTAAAATCCTCCGATAGCAGCTTCTTTCAAAAGTTCCTCTCACCTTCAAGATATGTTATCAGAAGGATTTTTTCCTAGTCTTTAAACATAAGAACCTCGCCCTAGAGATTGAGTAGCCTCAATGTTCATTTTTGGCCAGAGTGTCCCTTTAATGATAACTTGTTGCCCAACCCCACAACAAAGCATTTCTGTTATTATTTTCTATATCCCCCAATACTTTTTAGGGGTATAGCAGATGATTCAGGTGCCCATATAGATAGTAAGAGGCAACAGGATGGGAGGGTCTATCACGCTGGATAACACCCATCCGGCTGCGCTGACCTTTGCAGCGCTATAGAAATTTCTGTGTCTGGTACAGACTAAAGGCTAAATAACTTAGCTAGGGACTTGCAAGCTATATTTTTTCTGTAATTTACAGAAAAAAGTGACTTGCAACCTGTATTCAAACCATTACCCATTAGTTTATAAGTGCTTGACTAGGCCCAAATTTCTTACTGTTCTTGTTAAGCTATTCACTAAGAAGTAATTCAGGTACAGTTTTGCTGTGGGATACTTGATGTTGAGAGGCTTTAAACCCTTTATGCAGAGGGGGAAAAAAACCCTGTTGTTTTTCCATTTTTAAACAGAAAGTTAAAGTCGAAAGTTAAAAATTCATACACTTTTGTCATGAACTACCAAGCAAGCAAAGCAACACAAAAAACACAAAAAATAACATAAAAGGTTATTAAGGATTTGTATTGTGGTCCACGTTTGCTCAGAAACTACCACATTACATCTAACACCTAACAACAGCAGAGCAGCAGAGGCAGCATTGTGGATCTGCAACTGACAGTTTTATCACTGCTTTTTTGATATGTTATGTGTTTCTTTGACTAATGCAAGGCTCATTGCTTCACAGCTGCAAGGTAATATGCTTTGATAAGTTAAAGACTTGTTAAGTGTCTTAAAAGCTAGAGGGTCTGCATAAAGGGGTTATGCCATTATGTGACCTCATGTAAAATACATTGGTTTGGGCACCGGCTGGACATTTGTTATTCTTGTCTCAAAGAGGATTAAAATTGTGTGCATGTATCTGTGGCTATAAATGAGGCCATTATTGTTTTTCACAGTGACTGGCCCCCTGAAAGAGAGACAGATAGCATATGTATGCAGGGAAACACTTCAGGTAAGGACAGATTTCATGCTAGAACTAGAGCACACATAATGACTTTATAACATTTTAACAAGACCCATGATATACAGATTAACAGACTAAAGCAGAGGGCAAAGGTTGAGTGACATGATGCCATTGATGCTTTGAATCTGCTGTAAACAAAATCTGCTGAAAAAACTGCTGAATCTGACTGTTAACAAAGCCACTGACATCTTTGGCAAATATGGCAAAAACATTGTGATACTTTGAGAAATTTTCATGATATACAACATCAAAGTACTTAGTTTTTTAGGACTGAGAAAATGGAACAGACAGAGGTGGCACATTTTAACAATATGATCAAAAATCATCAGAGTATTTTTATTTAACATTTCAACTTCTGTACTGCACTAAATCCAAAGAAATAGTACTTGTGCTCTCTATTTAATGAAACATGCATTTGTTCAGTGTGCTCAAAGTACTGATGATATCCACGATATACACAGAAAAGCATGTTGGGACATAATTATGTTATAACATAATTAATCATGATGGTGATAAATATTGTAATATTGCCTGTGCTATATTCAGCTACACCATGATGTTTGTGAACAGTCGTTAGACAAAATGTGGTGCCTCAAAAAATATTCAATATTGAAAATATTCATAATCCTTTGTTAGGTTTAATTTCTGTACCTACTATTGTGGTCTGAAATTTATATTAAAAAGGAAATTCATTTTTGCTGTTTTTAAATATTATTTAAGGATAACGATTAAGGCTAGGTTTAGGACTTAGGTTGGAATTAGAGTCAGGAGTAATGTGTACTAGCTGTAAGTATACAAGTAGCTATATGATTTTTAATGATCAAGGTTAGGACGTAGCCTTAAGCTATTCAGTGCCTTCTAACAATTTTACAGTGTTTTGTGGTTCACATAGTTAGTGATACAGTTTCTTCTTTTACAGGGACTACATCATCTACATGAGACTGGAAAAATGCACAGAGACATAAAAGTAAGCAGGGTGGAAAATATTTGAGTAATTTTACTTTGCTAGTAAAGTAAAGGATTTGTACTTGACTTCAGTATTATTGAAATACTTGCAGTTTTACTCAATAACATTTCCAATATAAAAAAACATGCTTTTTAAATGTTACATTTTCATTTAGACCATGAAAATACTTCTCACAAAGAAATTTCAAAGAAAACTCTTTTATTAAAACATTCAACCAAATTTAAAAGAAACTGTCCACAACTATGCTAATTTGTCTTTGTTCAAGACCAGTACTGCCTTTTAGTCACTGCATCACACATCACCAAAAAAAGAAATATTGTAATGAGTTGTCAGTTAACACAATTTAATTGACTTTCTACTTGACATACTTGAATATGTTTAAATGTTAAATCTAGTTACTTTGCTCTTTTCACTGTAATTTTGGTCTCATTGTTGCACTTTCAGTTGAGTAAGATATTGACAGAGTATCTGTACTTTCACTAAAGGGGAATTATAGGCATTTAGAGTGGTTTGATGTGAAATGCACCATTTTAGAGAAACGTACCGAATCAGAATTGTTCAGTGGTGATATTATTAAGAACCAGGCAACCACGGCATTTAATAAGAGCTACTTCACTGGAAGTTTTTATATGAAATGGTTATGAATTTGCTACGTAATGCCTGAGACATTTCCCTTTAAGTACAGTTTCACTTTTTTCTTCCTCTGAAACTAAGACTAAAGACCAGTCTATTAATTGTACCCCCAACAATGTACCAAGTGCTGTTTAGTGCTGTCTGTGCTACAGCAGCAAAGTGTTCTATGTTAGTTTTTGTGGAGGGACATTTCACAAGTGAGTGAACCCGTTTAGACAACAATAGTAAGTATGTGTGTATGTGTGTGTGTGTGTATATATATGTGCGAATGAGTAAGGATCACTCTGGTCTGATAGCGTGTCTGCACTCATTGTGTCACTTTGGTGTTCACAGGGAGCCAACATTCTTCTGACAGAGCGGGGAGATGTCAAACTAGGTCAGTTGGGGCTTACCTCTGTCTCAGACAGCTCCCCCCATTACAGACACCAACTCATACACTACTTAAATCTTATTCCTCTTTTTCTCTTCCTTCTGTCCCTCAGCGGATTTTGGAGTGGCAGCAGAGATAAATGCATCAGTTGCTAAGAGAAAGTCTTTTATTGGGACACCATATTGGTAAGTCAGGGAAAGGTATAGTTGCAATTCAAAAGCAGAAGAACTTTGACACTGTTGGTCCTTAAATTTTGTCATTTAAAGAAAAAGTTTGCACACTTTTGTCATTACCCCCACATGTTGATCAGCTTACACATGTTTGGTGTCTGAAGTTTTATACTGGAGCTATAAGGCTAATGTAACGAACAAGGAATGGGGAAAAAAGGTTTTGTATAGCAACAAAAAGTGTTCTTTTACTGTTAAGATTTTCAAAGAGGTCCTATATTGAACCATCTACAGTACATTCTCCATCAATCTGAAGAACCATTTCACCATGCAAAGAACCCTTTAATCAAGCAAAAGGAGTGTTGAGTGTTCATAGTTAATATATTAAAACATTTACTTTACTATAGAACCCTTGAAGAACCACCTCTTCTGTAAAGTGTGTATTTCACTGGGTGACACAGACTTCTGTTATTATATATTCTGTTCGACCTGTATCAATTTGACAATAGTTCAAAAATACAATATTTTATGTTTTACTTTATGAACTTCTTTGTTTTTTTTTAAAAATATATACACTCATTCTAAAATTGATGCCTGAAACACATTCCAAAAAAAGTTGGGACAGGAGCATGTTTACCACTGTGATACAACCCCTTTCCTTTCAATAACACTTAACTGTTTGGGGACTGAAGACACAAGCTGATACAGTTTTGAAAGTGGATTTTCTTTCCATTCTTTTGCTATAGTCATCAGCTATGCATTTGTACGGGTCCTTCATTGTTGTGTTTTGCAGACATTTTCAGTAGGAGACAAGTCTGGACTGCTGGAAGGCCAGACTAGCACCTGCACACTCTAATAATAAATGCAGCATTTATGTTATAACTTATGCAGAATGTGGCGTGGCATCATCCTGTTAAAATAGTCATAGACGTGCCTTAAAGAGATGGCGTCTAGAAAGCAGAATATGTGCTCAAAATGTGTTTAGTGATAATGGTGCCTTCACAGATGGGCAAGTTACCCAGCAGTACACCTCCTACCATGACAGACCTTGGCTTTTGAACTTTACCTGTTTATTGACACTGTTTGCTGCTGTACACACAAATTCAAGTTAAGACTGTACTATGGACAGTGGTTTGTCAAAGTATTCCTGAGCCTGAATGTGGTAATATCTGTCACAGTTGTTTTGTGAGGAATGTAGTTTTTTTTAAACTGTTGGATTTTTTTTCTGATGCATTTTTGGCAAAGTGGCAAGACTCAACCCATTCTTGCCTATAAAGGACTAGGCCTGGATACTCCTTTTACACCAAGACATGATTGCATCACCTGTATAGAATTTTTTTCTGAACATTTCACAATGTTCTTAGTCTTAAATTGCCCCATCCCAACTTTTTTGGAATGTGCTGTAGACAGTAGTTTCTGAATGATATTTACAAAAACTCAATAAAGTTAATAAAATTGAAAGTTGAAAAAACATTACATATTCTGTCTATGCACTGTTTTCATTCAAATACAGGTCAAAGCAGATTTATAAATCACTGCCTTTTGCTTTTATGGGCATTTCACACACTGTCCTAAAATCTTTGGAAATTAGTCTGTATTTACCTCATAGCTCAACAATAAAACTAAAGATGCAAAGTGAAATACAGTGAGAATACAGTGAGACTTTTTTAAGGCTGTCCATTGCATAACATTTACTTATAAATTCTTCACACTATTTTGCAAGACCAGTGTTGCAAAATCTTTACCTTCAAATTAATATACTTTAGAGATAAACGAGATAAACACTATAAACTTCTATAGAAAAGATAATGTTCTCTTTTGAGGGTCTGCCAAAGCCGCCTTAGTTCATTGTACTAGAATACCAAAGCATACTGATACTTTCTTTAAAGGTGCTACATGTAGAAATTTAAAATAATAACCAGCTCTAACATCCACACACAAATATTTTAGCTCATATGCCGCCATTATTACTCTGTTCTTATTCTGTGAGCTAAAAAAAAATACATTTTAAGACATTTATTCACAGAAACTGTTATTTTTTGTCTAGTTCTTTCCTGTTCTTTTCTTCACCTCAGGATGGCTCCAGAGGTGGCAGCTGTGGAGAGGAAGGGTGGCTATAACCAGCTGTGTGACATTTGGGCTGTGGGGATCACAGCCATAGAGCTAGCAGAACTGCAGCCACCGATGTTTGATCTGCACCCTATGAGGTAAGGATTACTTTGACGTCCCAAGTTTGCATTGTGTTTATTGACCTAAAATCGCTTTATGCTGGTACGTACAGAATAGCACAGCAAGATGTGCTGTGTATATAAGGACGGTCAAAGACTTAGAATAATTTCTCGCTGCCCTCTAAAGGTTTTATAGTACAGGTCAGAAACTACAACTGTTGTTGTTTCAGAAGGACCCATGATGTGTCTCAATAAATGGCAATTATTACTTTTACATATGTACATGTTTTTGACTTAAATGTGAAAGATCACATAAGAGGAAAATAATTGTAAATATTAGCACAAAAAATTGTGATCCGGCGATTATGTAAAAATTTGCTATTGCTTGTCTCTTGTGAGCATAGTCTGTGGAAGGAGCTGAAGGTATTGCCTTGAAAGCCATTTAAAAGCTGTGTTTGAACAAGAGAGCTACAATCGTGGATTCCATCATAGCAACATACAGCACGCAAACAGCAGAGCATGAGCCCAAGCTGCTACAGATGGTTCAAGGGGTCAAATTAGGAAAATGCATTGACAGTGTTTAAAAAAAAAAAGCAATATTAAACACAAACTTTGAGAGCCCTAATATATATGCTTATACACACACAAGTGGCTTATTACATGTTAACTGCACCCACTCTTTTACACATTCTTATACTGTTAATGCCTGTAACAAAGAGTGGAAATGTTTGCAGATGGTTGTACAGATCTATGACTGTTCTCAGTTATCCAGGACACTAGAGATAGTAACTTTCACAAAAAATGTTTCACAAGTTCAAATGAGTGGTGGGAATGATCTCTAGCATTTAACCTGCAGTGGTTCACACCTATGAAATTATGCTATATGAAACTTTATTATTACAAATATGGGAACAAGTTGCAAAGGTCACACTGGACAAAAGAGGAAGAAGTCAGCACCTACACGTCAAACATTAGAGAAAAAATGTGGTCAAAGCCATGTTTGAGCTCCAGTAACCAGTTGTGCTGTTGAATTCTCTGCTCCAGAGCTCTAATGCTGATGTCCAAAAGCAGCTTCCAGCCACCCAAACTGAAGGATAAGACGAAATGGTAAATAAAGATACATGGTTTAGATATTTTTATACATGTTCTGTACAAATAATTTGAGCGTGATCTCAGTATGAACTAGTATTACGCTTGTACTGCATAGGTCCACAGAATTCCACAACTTTATCAAGATGGCACTCACCAAGAGTCCTCGGAAGAGGCCGACAGCTGAGAAACTGCTGCAGGTGTAGTATTGCTTTATAACACATGCTGCACGGCCCATGTCTTACATGTAACCATTTTAAAACATCTCTCTATGGCTTGGAATAAATAGGTCTGTTTTGTAGTTACAGTGCTTTTAAGACTGATGTATGTAAATAAGCTTTGTTCTTATTGGCTGCCCTGTATTGTGCCTAATCCAAAAAGTAGTCCAGGCTGAAACTTTTCTTATAACTTGAACATGAATGATTGGAGCTATAGATCTAATAGATCTAAATTTGTTGGTTTTCGTGACACCACGAAAACAGTGAATTTGAACGGCTGTTTTTGAAGCTCAGTTTTCATATATGGACTGTATGGACTGGAAAATGTGTATGGACTGGAACAGTATATTTTAAACTTTAACACTGTTTACATATTACATCAAAATCTTTTACCTCAATAAAGTTGTAATAGTTTTCCTTAACATGGACTCATAGTGTCCTTGTTTTGAATTTGCCCAAACTCTGAAGCACAGGGACATAAAGAACTATAATTTGAGGCAGTGGTTTCTCAGGCCCAGATTAAGCCTAAGCCTAAACTTTAAAGGATTTTAATTGGTGAATCACCATTGGTTTTGCAGTTAAGTTCACAACTAGAGTTAATTAATGTTCTGGAAGGTCAATCTGATTAATCTTGCAAAATATCTAAGAAGTTTTATTCCAAACAACATGCATGTACCTTCCGATTCATTTCAGCAACATTTTTTACCTTTCATTTGTAAATTGTTCACCATCATCATCAGCTCTTTTTCAAGGGTTACATGATTTAAGGGTAGAGAATGCAATGCCACTTGAGCAACATGGGATTAAGTTGCTCAATAGTACGCCAGTTACAACAGTAATGTTAGATAGTTATTATGCAAACTAAATAGTATTACAGAGTTTTCAGTATATGGACGAAACTGTCTAGAAGCAGATTGCTCAAACCTCAGGAGACGGAGATGTCTTTGAACAACTTCTGCTGTTGGGTTAATTTTGTGTTGCAAAACTCAGCAGAAGAAACAACAAATTTGGTCCAATTTGGTCCTTGTTTCTGACAAAATATTCACTATAATACTGAAAAGCAAAAGTACAACCCCAATTCCAAAAATGGGATGCTGTGTAAAATGTAAATAAATGTAAATAAAAACAGAATGCAATGATTTGCAAATCTCATAGACCCATATTTTATTCACAATAGAACATGGAACACATATCAGATGTTGAAAGTGAGACATTTTACCATTTCATGAAAAATATGAACTCATTTAGAACATGATGGCAGCAACATTATTTTACAGAGCGTCCCTACTTTTTTGAAATTGTGGTTGTAAATAGGAACCAAATAAAAACTAAACTAAAACTGTTGAAGCTGTCTTTTTTTCCCAAAGAAATTAAAAAATACAGAACAAAATAAATTAAATAAATAGATGAACAAATAGAACTAATGAGTCTTTGCAAAGCTCAGGTTTAGTATGAATAAAGAACTGGGAAAACCACTTTGGAAAAATCAGGAAGATTTATTTATTTACACAAAGGATACAAAAGCCTTCAACGCCAAGTATAATATCAAATCAATAGGTATGTAAAGCATTTCATTTGTTTGTCTCTTCTGTCACTTTAGCTCTTCCATCTTTCCAATCTTAAAACCAGCAAATTTTATCTGTGTCAGCTCTTACTGATTATGTTCCCCTTCAAAGAGACACTCTGAAGATATTTCTGAGGAGAATAGCTATAAAATAATCCACCTGCATAAGGAAGGAGGAAGTTAGAGGAAATGTCAGGAGTTTCCAAAACTGGAGTTTAAAAATTATTGGGCTCACTCATTAGAAGTAGAAAACGCAACCAGCCTTTAAGACTAAACTTTGGAGGTGTGGAAAAATATCCATGCAGAGTTCTTTAAAAAACTGAAAGCCAGTCTTCCAAAAAGAACATAAGCTGTAACAAAGGCAAAAGGTGGACACTCTACATACTGAACAATTATTACTCTATAATATTTAGTAATTGAGGCTTCTGAGTAATTTTTGTAAATGATAGTTTTCTGGTGTTTTTTCCTGATGCTGAAAAATGAATAGCTTGTATTTAATGGCCATTTTGACATTATGTAAATGAAAGGGTGGTCTCTAACTTGTGCCCAGTACTGTAAATGATCTTTCTCTTTCTCTTTCCCTTTCTTTCTCTCTAGCATGCATTTGTTACCCAGCTGTTAACTCGTAACTTAGTCATAGAATTGCTGGACTCTGCCAACAACCCTGACTTACAGCACTCTCAGACTATGGATGACAGTGATCTTGAGGTGAATACATCTTGCACAACTTCATGGTGCAAATCCAGCCAAACTGATTTTGTTCACTATTAATTGTATAACAGAACTATTTCTTTTTTTAGAATTCTAATTATCTCAAAAAGCATAGCTCAAATAAAACCCAAATGTTTAACAGTCAGAAGAACTCAAAATGACAAGTAGACTGCCACGGTTTAAATTACTCAAAGCAGAATCTCTGTGCTGTTTGTGTGTTTGGTCTTTGAGTGACCAAGTTGTATTTTTTGTGTCCACAGACATGCAGCGCTTTTCCTGATAAGATTACATCTTTGGGGAAACACTTATCTGCCCAGAGAACACTTTCTGAAGAACAGTGTAAGCATATAATTACTTTGACTATGTATATGGGACTGAATTTAATTCATAGTTGAAAAGGGTTATTGTCAGGCATGCACCAATATGGGAATTGTGGGCCGATGCCAATATCCGAAACATGGAAATGGCCCGGAACACACAACTATAGGCAGTTTCCCTATAAAAATAGTTACCAAGTAGTTTGAAATCTGAGCTGGAACACCGCTGCATCCTGACTTTTACTCCCAGAAAATCTTGGCAACTGTTTGGGTAGGGAAACTGCATGTGGTTGTTTTACTCTGTTCTAAAGTGTGCACATGAAGCGAAGAGTCTGGTGAATGTGGTTCATATTTAGCCTGGAGTCTATTCAGCTATTGGAAAGTCGTGTTTCACCAGGGTCCATGGTAATGCATGATAATGCAACCAGTGTGTGTGGAATGTGAAAATAGTCAAGAAGGTCCGCAATTGGTAATAAAATTAATTTTACATTCTAATTTTCAGAAATGTGGGTGATATCCATTTGGATATCCTTAGTTTATATTAATTTAATGAATTAACATTAATTCATTTGTAAAGTTACCATTTCAAAAAGGTTTTATTATGACAGCGACAGTATGTTCTTCAAAAAGACCAAAAGACTGACCAAAATGACTAGTTATGTCCCCTGTTATCTGTGCCTCACGTCCACCAATCAATCATAATCAAGAAGGATTAAATGCTCTGAATGTCTATTTAAATTATATTTAATTTACATCTAAATCTCATGCCTCCTTTGAACGAGCTTGGACCCATCTGTTTCAGTCAAGCTTTTCAAATTGCAATTAAAGCCAGTCAGATGATATTTCAGAGGCGGAGAGTAATGGGTTAGTAATGCTAGCGTGAGTGCATGTCTCTGTTTGGCAGTTGAAAAGCAGGAATGCAGCATTAGCTACTAAGAGGTGACTGTTGTGGTTGTGGAGGATTACAGCATGCCACGGCAGCCTGCCAAGGCTAGTGGGACACTGATCGCTATTGTATCTGAGTGCCCACTCAAGCGCCATGAAGGGAGGCATTGTTTGGTTTGGGCTGTGTGTGTGTGTTAGTCTATGCGCATGAGAGAATCCAAACACGTCTGTGTTAAAGGGCCCATATTATAGAAGTTTATATATATTAGTTTCAAAGTGTACCGTTCACTCCCCAGTCCACAAATAAAAATTGACCTGCAAAAACAGGCCGTTTATAATTCATTGTTTCTTGTGATGTCATGAAAACCAGTGCATATATATATCGGACTATTTAGCCCACAGCAGTTTGGCTCTGCTCATTCACATTGGACATAAGGATTGTTTTAGCCTGGACTGCCTTTCCAAAAAAAATAAAAAAACACGGCAGACAATCAGAACAAAACTCTTAAAGGCACAATAACAAAAACAGCCTGTTTAATTCTAAGGGATAAAGAGATTGTTAAAATGAATGGCAATTGCTTTGGCACATGAACACACAGCACCTCAAGGACGAAAAATAAAATCCATTAAGAATATGTGGGATATTGCCCTCTAGCCCCTTAAACCCCCTATGTGAACTCACATTTTAGTTTGTCAGTCTTATAACAACATAATTTACATGGCCTATAGTATAGTAGTTTCATAGTAGTTATTGAACAATGTATAGAAATCACTTTATAAGATGTTTTATTATTCTTTTATTATTTGTAATCTACATTATCATATTTTAAGCTTAATGATCGTTATAAGCAAAGGGTTTGGTAAATAAAACTGAAATTTAGTTCTACTGTAATGTTTCTCTGAAACAGTGACTGAAGTGCATGAAATGAAAAGCTAAGTGTGTAGTAGCAGCTCTCAGTAAGAATGAATAGAATGAATAGACTATACAATGGCTCACATGCTTATGGATCTGTTGGTCTCTGCCTCCAGTTGATCAAGTGAAGTTTGGACCACCCATGCGGAAAGAGACAGACCCTTGCCCTGATTCGCCGGTCAGAATGATATCTCTCATGCAAGCAAATAAAGTTATCAAAATCTCTTTGTCCATGTAATTTGTTAAAATAGCAGTCATCTTATGAATGGCTCACTTTTATCCCAGTTTTATTGCTAAGAGTCATGTTGAGTTGTCTATTAAGACTGTCATTAATGTATCATGTTTATGCTCCTTGCTAGGGATCATGTGATGACTGGAGTTCTATTAGTGATGAGAAGGAGTCTCCGTAAGTTAAGCTTTCTTCTTGTGTAGTTCAGTTATGACTGATAATGACTAAAGCTTTAATCTGTGTATGTATCCTAAATAATGTGTTTTGAGCTCTGTGGCGTTTGTGGTATATTGCAGGAGTCTATTGGAATGTGTTGAGGAAGCATTGCTTGAGAGGTAAGAGAACAATGTCTTATGATATGTTTACTGTGTTTTGCCAAACAGAAAGTAGGACTTCAATTCTTTAGCCTTAGCCACTTTCCATTTACATAAGCCCAATTTAAAATGTGTACAATTCAAAACATACTCAAACTTTCCTTCTGAAGGCATGTGAAGTTGTAGGTGTCTGGTATCAGCTTCCAGCTCAAAAAACAGTCTGTGTCTTATGTGTCCTCCTTTTTTCCAGGAGCTTAACTATGAAGAGAGCGCCCTCGGCCGAGGTAGGATACCCAGTGTTTGAGTCAATGAATTTTTTTTTTTTCATCACTGCCATTTATGTTTTAAATGGACGATTAGGTATAGCTTACTTTTGTTCTTGCTATGTGGCAGTCACCAACTGAAGATGACAAATATGGCACAGTGAAGAGAGTGGTGTCACCACCAAAGCCAGCTATTCTTCAATGCCCCACTAATCAGGATAAAAAAACCTCCACCCCTTCTTCAGATTCCTCCCCTCGCATTGGCTCAACACCCCACACAGACACTAACCCCAGCCTGCATAATGAATCAGCTTTGCTGATTGGCTCAACGCTCTGTGACCTTTCCCTTCTCACAAACTCCTCCTTCTTTGCCAACTCCTCTCTATTCAGTGATTCCATTAGTCTTGGCTCCCTCTGCACAACTCCAACTGATGGTAAGAAGCAACACATAAAATGGTCATATAATGATTCATGGAATTACTTAGTCATTCATACTGAAACCAAATCCTATGTGTGCATCCTTCATACATGGTATTTTTACAAAGAATGTATAAGATGGGATGAATTCTACTGAAACGTAAACACTGATGTAGCTGATGTGGTAACTAGGTTTAATACCACGAGGCTCGGTTGGAGTTGAGCCAGGAGGAAACAGAAGTCACTCTCCACCCCGGCAGCCACTCTCACCTGAATGGAGCACACTCAGGAGGAAGACCGAAGACTCAGTGAGCAATGACCTTTTATTAGCTCTTTGAGTGAACTTCCTATTGGTACTGCCTCACATATTTACCGATTAAGAAAAGCATTCTATGAGCTGAGACCTGAGTAAAGGGAGAAAAAGAGAAAGAGTTTGTAATCTAAGCCTAAAAATCCTAACACAAAAACCCAAAGCAATAGCAAAGCATTAACAAAAGACCCATCCGAGAACCCAGGGAAACACCTAAGCTAAGGTTTAGAAAGTCTAGAAAGAAAGCTTTTCCAAGTGTTTCCCCACTGGATTTTGTGAAACTATGGTGGATGGACCTCGCTTGGACCCTCTAGGAGGGTCTGGTAAATTTTGTATATTTTAAAGTTAAATGAATCAATCTGATGCACTTTAAGAACAAAATTGAGAGGTTAGATCTATGAGGAACTTTGTGCTCTAAACAATTTTGTGCTTCAGTAATTTAATCATAAAGACACTGGTTGTATGGGTATGAATGGTGATGGCACAGGAAAAAGGTCACACCCACAAAGCATGGTAAAGGAGTTTAAAAGTTCACAAATGGTCAAAACAAAAAAATGACTAGAGCCCTCAAAGAAATCAAGCAGAAGTGGGTACCCTGTTGAACTGGTTTATTTTTTTAGAAAATATAAAATACTGAATAGAAAATATACTGAATAATATACAGAATAATTTAATAATTCAATTTTAGGTAAAAATAGACTTATTTTGACCGATCCAGACTGTAGAATGTAGGGATGGACACTGCAATAATTATAGAGCATGCAATCATATTTTGAAGCACGAAAATACAGTACCGTGTGTGTTAGTAGCATTGATGTCAAATTTCCGGATTCAGAAACAAGCTAAAACTTTTGCAGCGCAGTTTTAAAACGAGGAGATGAGAGTCAGACACACTGACGTTAGCGTTAACTAACTTGTTACAGCTAACTAAGCTAAAGTTAGATTAACATTAATTATCAATAATAACTTCTGCATTGACGTTATCTGTTAGATGTCTTACACTGATAATGATAAGACTGTGTTTGGACTTGTGGATGACTACAGTGAATACTGTAAAGTTAACATTACTGACCTCAAATTAAAACGGTGTTGCGTCCCCAAAATGCCTCATGTCTCAGATGCAGCCAGACAAGACAGTCCAGTGCATGTGAGCATGTCAGCGTGCAGTGCAGGAGGGGAGGGGTGCTAACTGGTAGCGAGAGATTCTTTGCTGAAGCAACAGGGCAAACCACAACATTGTTATTATGAGAAGCAGGTCTAAAAAAAGATATTTTTGGTTCATCATGAAACTGTAGCAGGACAATTTACACTGTGGCAGGCTGCCACAAACTAGATCATTTTTAGGAAACATTGCATTTCCAAAGGTACTCACAATCATTTCGACTACAACAATGTTTTTTAAACCTGATTTTAAAACATTTTTAACGTTTTTCTCTGCCATAAAATTTGACTTGGTTTTCATTAACATTTTTTTTATTTGTCGTTTAGAGAGGTGTACATGGACTGCCACCTACCCCTCAAGTACATGTAAGCCCATACTAATATATCCATTTAGTATTACTAAATTAATTTTGTGTGATTTTTGCCATCAGGTGGTCTTCCTTAGATTATTGTTCACCATAACATATCAGAATATATTTTGTATTTCAGATGGGAGCCTGTTTCTCCAAAGTATTTAATGGGTGTCCCTTGAAGATTCAGTGCGCAGTTACATGGGTTCTACCAAAGACCAGAGGTAGAGCTAATTTACACTATAACCACTGATACTTGCAAATGAATTTTACTTGGGGGTTGGCTATATAACTGTTTGAATCACTACACCACAGATCAGCACCTGATTCTGGGAGCAGAAGAAGGCATTTATACCCTTAATCTCAATGAGCTCCATGAGGACACTATAGAGAAGGTACCATCATGTATCTTTATTTCTCACATTCCTCCCACAGTTTCATAGGACAATTCATAGTGTTATTAGAGTTGATTGTAAGTTATTTATGTAATTGTCATTTATTTATTTGTTTTTATTATTTAGTTGCTTCCACAGAGATGTAGCTGGTTGTATGTCATGAACAATGTTCTGATGTCTGTCTCAGGTATGTTCAAGCAACATTAGCGTTGCAATACTGCATCACATAAAAGTAGGTGAATCTAGGGTATCTATTTATTTTATGTGTCCTCTGGCCCTGATATTGTTGGACCACAGGAAAGTCCTCCCAGCTGATCTCACACAGTCTGCCTGCACTGTTTGAGCACCGTAGAAACCTGCAGCGGCGCCAAGGTCACTTGTCAATCAATGCACACCGCCTGAGTACAAGAATCAACTCAAGGTCTGTAGCATTATAGACAGAGTTATTGTTTTAAACTAACATGGGTGTAGTTGGTTCAGTTAGAGAGTATTATCCTAAGACAAATATGTTGATCTTGTGTCTGCAGGAAATATGCCATGTCTGTGAAGATTCCTGACACCAAGGGCTGTAGAAGATGTAGTGTAGGTGAGGTACACCACTGTACTCTGTTGAAAAAACCCATAAACCATTACAAGGACTTGTGCTGCCTTCAAGTCTTTCTCGGAAGTTCCTACTTACAACTTTGGAGGTCATAAGTACAACTTGATTTGTGTTATGATTTTGGTCGTAAACAAGATAGACGCGTTGTAAATAATGTTTATGTTTAAATCTATTTGAGGATGCTTCTGAGATGAGTAATGTTTTTATGTGGTTAGAAGCATCACATAACATGCTAGTATTTGTATTTTCGTGTGGATAATTGTAGCCTGCAGTGTTCATATATCATTGCTGAATAAATGAAATATAACCAGTTTACAATACATCTATCAGCGGCTGTCATGCCCTGGTCAACTGTGAGTGTTGTTTTTGTGAAATGTAAGTGTCTAGGAGCAACAACAGCTCAGCCTTGAAGCGGTAGACCATGCAAACTCCCAGAAATTGTGTGTCAGGAGCTTCATTAAATGGGTTTTTCATGGCCAAGCAGCTGTACACAAGCCTAAGATCACTATGTGCAGTGCCAAGCATTGGCTAAAGTGGTGTGAAGCATGCTGTCACTGGAGCAGTGGAAACGTGTTCTCTGGAGTTATGAAGCAGCTTCACTGTCATATTAATGCCTAAGGTTTTGGAATAGGATGTCCAACAGGTGTGATGCTTGTGTCTATATACTTTTGGCCATATAGTATATGTGGGTAATGTCTGTTCATGTCCTGCTTCTGTTGTGCTTCTCCTGAGTTACGTGCCAATAACTCAGATCAATACACCTCATGCAGGTAAGAGTACATAGGCTCAAACTCAACAAAGCGGTAACATCTTTGTCTCTGTTTTAGTACGGAACCCATACACAGACAGTGTCTTCCTGTGTGCCGCAGTGCCAAGCGGCCTGGTTCTTCTCATGTGGTATGAGCCATTGCAGAAGTTCATGCAGCTCAAGGTAGGAATGAGATATGAAATGGACAAAATGCATACATGTTTTGCATGAGACAAGTAGAGGCCTTAAAGGTACATAGCATATTCAGATTTATGTATTATTGCTTAACTGTGTCTAATTTCTGACGACTGTAGCTTAACGATGTCTCATATCTTACATTTTCTACTTTCTCTTTTGGGCTTTTAATTTCTGTCTGTTAATTTTAATCCCCCCCTTCCTTCCTTAAATTCCTCTGTCTTGTCTCTCTCTCAGCACATAGCTTTAAGCCTTCCTGAGTCTCTGCCCATCTTTGAGCTGCTGGTGCAGGAGTCTGAGGAGCTTCCGCAGGTGTGTGTGGGGGTGCACGGTAGCCATAAAAGATCAGGAGAGACTGTGGAACAGCTGCACTTTGATATCATCCATCTTGATGACACACCTCGAGAACAGCCAGGTACCCACACACATGCTAACAAATCATACACATCACTTTCTCCTTACGTACAGAAAATAAGTCCTACTTGCTCTATAAAGAAAATTCCTCTATAAAGTCTAGTCTGTGAATAGTTAGAATGTCTTACACACTGTAATGGCTAAAATGTGGATGCAAGACAAAATGTGTTCATTCAGTTGTCATTTCGCTTCACAGTTGGCGAGTCTTTAGAAGTGAAACAAGTAACCCAGCTTGACAGAGATACAGTCCTCATAGCTCTGGAAAGTATGTTGAATTAGTCCTCAATTTGTATTTATTTATCTTGTTTAAACCATGTGTTGTTATTGTGAAAACTGGCTATCTTTGTAATAGGGCTGCAGAATATGGTTGAAATTCCACATTGCGATAATATTGCCACATCATGTTGCCACGATTACAAAATAACTTAGATATTAAATACGCATTATTGAATTCTTAATGACATGCACTGTTTTTGACCAAAAGTATGTACGTTTGTTTAATGACCTGTTGGTCTGGATACTCAGAGCACACAATAAAACACTGAGTGACTGAGTAGAGGGCTCATTTGCATATTGCTGAATTCTGGGATATTAGTATTGTGAAGGCTAGTGTCGCAATGAGGATTAACGAATTGTGCAGCCCCGCTGTACATGTAAAGCCTATATATTTCTGATATGTATAGACCATGGATATTAAACATTGGCCTGATCTCTGCAGACACTGTAAGAGCAGTAAATCTTCAGGGCTGTCCCAGCAAAGGCATGGCCTCGGAACTGACCTTCAGCTTCTCCATTGAGACTCTGGGTGAGTGCAGTAGGCTGCAGGGGCTTTCATAGATATTGTAGGATGATTTTGCTTGGAAAAGCATATGCAGTGAAGAATAGAGGAACAGTTCAATCAAAATCATTAGCCATGAAAGAAAGCTCATAACCATTAACTATCATGGAATCACCTTTGATGCTACTAACTATGTATACTCTTCAAATATCCACATTTTTAAACAAATAGTATTCTAATAGCAAAACAAGAAACATGTACTGTTAAAAAAACAAAAAAGCAGAATATTTAACATTGGTTTGTTGCATGCAGCTAGCATAAGAGTTCTTTGTGTTTAAGTGTGATTTACCAGCCAGCACTGTACAACTCTTCTGTCTTTATTTACAACTCTGTTACTGTGTTAGCTCATGTGTTTACCATAAGCATGTCAGTACAATGAAAGTGCTGCTGTTTGTCTTCAGTGTGTTTGCAGGATAGTGTTCTTGCCTTTTGGAAACATGGGCTCAAGGGGAAGAGCATACAAAGCCACGAGGTACATCAAAGGTCAATCAAAACAGTTACCTAGATGCAAGAATACAGGCAAGACAATAAATTCTGCGTTGCTTCCCACAGGTTACGCAGGAGATAACAGACGAGAGTCGTGTCTTCCGGGTCCTGGGGACGAATAGGTATGTTTTGATTCAGTAGCCTGGGGTTAAACACCTTTGGTGTATGTTTTTTACTGTTGTGTTTTTCCTACTGAAAGGTTACCTCTTAAGGAAAAAGCCTTCTATCACATAAATGGTTAGTTTAGTTTGCATAGCCAGATAAAATTGTGGCCACTGAAGCAGTTATCAAACAGCGTCTTCATACCACATGCCTATTTCACGTAACTGGATTTTTATTAAATTTGAAACTTTAATTGGGTTTATTACAGTTTTTACTGTTTTGTCAAATGGCTTTTGCTAAATACATTGTTCTAGCCTTTCTTTTCCTTAACATAGGACCACTGTTAGGATATTTTTGCTTGGTGAACTATTCATAACCCAGCAGTGACACTTTAAATGGAGGAAGTTAAATGTACTGCAGTGTTTGATACTTTGATTGCAGACAGTAGAAAATGAAAGCAGACCTTATGAATGTATATAGAGTCTAGTTTTTAATAGCTGTCAATCCAAGGACTCATAGGGACAGGAATATAAAACTGCGTAACACCAGTATTAGCTATATGTAGTAAAAAGAATATATAGATAATACTAGTGTGATTGTTTGTAAATACTTACTAGAAATATAAAAAACAAATACTCTTTAAAAAACCTCAAACATTTTAAATAGTTGGCTCTTCAGCTAGCTAATGTTTGTACTTTATGGCTTATTCCATTTTCTTTACCTCACGTGAACCTCAGGTTAGCTAGCTAACAAGCAATCAGCTAAAAACTTGATAGCCAGCTATACTGGCCACAGATCCATATTGTAGGTAAATATGTTTACTCTGTAACTATTTACTGATTCAGACTGTATATCATATATTCTAAAAAAGGTTGAATCTTTATTTTAGTATGCTTTCAGCTAAAATCCTTTCACAACTTAAGCAGTTGCTGACTGACATTACTTTGCAGAGTGAATAGCACCAGAATCCCTGCCCAGGTCTGATAGGACTGGCTTGCAACTTGTGAGGTCTGATATGGTTGGTGGAGTCTGCGTTGCACTTCTCTTCAATGCTAAACAGCAGAGGAATACCATCCCCTGTTATGTTAGAAAATCTCTGGTAGCACCAATGAGGCAGTGGTGGATTACAGCAGCAGCAGCGCCTCCCCCAGTTCATGCCCTGCTATCACAGTTTATTGTGAATTTGGAGACACAACAGCCTCCTGAGACCCAGAAAAATTAAAGTTTGAGAATTTTAGGATAAAATAAATCTGTTGTCTGAAAAAAAAAAAACTTATCACAATGAAATATTTTTCAAAAACACTTTTTATTTCATTTTTGTGTAATGTCCTTTTTAGTGGACAAATGACGTTGGAGAGTAATTATGTTGATGTCAGTTTTCTTGTTTCCTATACTGCATCAGACCAAAACACTGCTGCAACATCAGCAACAACTTCAAAAACCTTGTCATCAGTCTTCTATGTCCTTATCATCAATATACTGCACCCAGGTGTAGTTGGGTGTTGTCATTTAGCAGCAAACTGTTCCATAGTAGGGATGAATCTTAAGTATGAATGGAAAGGGATGAGAATTAATTTATTTTTAGTGTTTTTTTTTAATGTGTTATTTTTAAAGTTTTAAACGTACAATTATGTAAAAGGAAATTTTCTAATATATTAGGAAATTAAATAAAGCTCATATCCCTAGCTTATATGCCTGCACTTATTCCAGTTGTCCATTTAGCAGTAAGAGTAAAACTTATAATACTGGCGGTACAAAAAAATGAGAACCAAAAAGAAAGAAAATAGATACAGTAATATCACAGTAATGTATTTAACTGCTCAGCTTACATGTTGTTGTTTCTAACCCAAACTGGATCAAGAGGGTTGTGATCATCCTTTAATTTTCTCTGCCACAGTCAATTTCCTATCATCTGTGATACCATGAATTTCATGTAAAAACAGATTAAGTTAGTTCCAGTGTCCACCACACAGGACATAAAAAAGTATATATAAAAAAAAGCACAATAGCTTATATCGTTCTTGAAATATCCTTTGGGGACTCATGTTCCCCACAGAGGACACAAATGAATTACCAGGTCTCACAAGGAGAACACAGTTGAATAATAAGAAGAGTAAATGCAAAATGATTATTTAAACAAATAATGTTTATTTATTTGAGGGGGCTATTGGCCTAGCGATACCCCTGCCTGACACACTTATACCAGCTCAACACACACTATAATGCCACTACCACATTAGTGTTGCTGTACTGCTAATGATCCAACAACCTACTACTTCCTGCTCAGTGGTGGTCCCTTCCATTGAAAGATAAAGTAAACTATGCAGTAACAGATGAGTTACAGTCAGTAATTGTGTACCTGCAAACTGCAGGTATAGGTAGGTGTTTCTCATCATGGCTAGTGACTGTTAGAAATTAACTAGTAACTCAGTGTAGCTTTAGATACAGACATGTATCAAAACTATTTTAATCACATTTCCTTGATATCAATGCTGAGAACCCCATACAATAACATATTACATTAAACAATGTGTTTGCTACATTGTTGGCACTCCTAAATCCTAATTTAACTCATCAGTAACCATCACTTCCAACACACGACTAAAGCTGTGTTAATCGCTCTGTCCTACAGGGATATCATCTTGCAGAGCACTCCCACAGATGACCCCTCCGCCCTGAGCAACCTGTATATCCTTACAGGTCATGAGAGCAGCTACTGAAATGATCGCAGATCAAGGAAAATGTCCCACAGATGTGGAAGCACTTCTGTCCTCTACAGAGGCTAAGGAAGAGTCCTCAGGCCCCACAGGTGGGAGAAGAAAGAGAGTGGCCGCCTTTCTGCCCTGTGAGCCGCCCAGTAGTATTGCAGAGACAAGAAGCCGACAGAGGCCTGGAGACAAGCTGCTAGAAACTCTGACCAAACGTAGCCTTTACATCAAAGGCAGCGGGATAGGCAGAGGCAGATGGAACTACAGCTTATGACAGCAAACAGACTCATTTAACAGATATAAATGGTTCATTTGAGTTGGACTGCAGGAGCGTTACAGAATGGAGATGCTAAGTAGCCAAGAAGATTAAGGACCTTGATTTGAAGGATGAACAGTTCCGTGTAGCAAACAGCAGTGCCGTGTTGTGTTCCCTGTTTAGCTAATAGCTGTACTACAGTGAATCTTGACATTGTTCTGCTGTATTTGGTGCTGTCATCATTTTGTAGAATAAGATGTATGTTTTGTTGGCAACTGAGTTGGAGTTGGCTCATTTGATCTGGTCAGGGAAGCAGTATCTCATAAGAATGTTGGCCATTCTGTGAAACCTAAAAATATAGAAATGTAAATGTTTAGAATCAGTGAAGATTAAATCACATTTCTAACCCCACAGACATTGCAGAACATGGCTTGTTTTAACTGGCATCACCTCAGTTCTGTAATATTACTGTATAATGGTGGTGCTTGGACTGTAGACTACTATAATCTACACATGAACAGGAATATAAGCAATAAGATCTAATGAATTATTACAATTATTACTGACCAGTAATCATAATATTGTATACAAGTGTTCAAAATCTAATTTGAAGTCGATTTCTAGTGTGGGGAACATAATAAAAAGAACCAAACGTTTTGTCCATGCATCATTTTAACGATTCTTACACTGAATGAAATTTACTTTACGTTGTCCGCTAGAAGGCAGTATTTTGTATTTACTGAACGAGAGACTTGGAGGAGGAAGTGCTCGAAGAAGGAGAAACAAAGATACATCACAGCGTTTCCTAAAACTCTTCGCATTTCATTTAAATCCAGCGTTACTTATTTTTTATTTTAAATGTGGTCAATAGCGCTACGTTGTAAAAGCGATCCGCGTCTAATGTTAAACGTACTGACAAATACCAACAAATATGACTGAAGTCTTCCCGCCAAATATAGTTCATGACATAATACTTACTCAGTCCAGTTTGCCTGAATATTTTCGTCTGTGAATGATCAACCGTCATCTTATTAATATGCGCGTCGCTTGCTTGTCGTTCAGGCAGCCATACGCTGGTCTCGTATTGAACGGAGTAAAATCTGTAGAGACGCGTTGGCGCCCTCTGCTGGCAGACCTCAGAAACTGCACACTTGCCATACATATCGCTCGGTCAGACTGGGAAGGCGATGAATGGTCAAACATCCTTACGCAGATGTTTGGAATGAATCATCGGCAAGTTGAAGAACTTCTGGAATCTGGGGAAAGATTCGGGAGGGGTGTTGTTGCAGGTGAGAATGAATCCACCATGTTAGGCTACCTACAGTACTGTGCAATGGTGTTAGCCCTATATAACGTTACAGTGCTCAGAAAAGTATTTTTGGATGCCAACCAGCAGACGTCTGCAAAGAAATTGCTCGAACGATAACTATCTGAAATAGGACTTAGTCCTATTGTAACTTAAAGTTACAATATTCGTCAGAAAAAAAAAGAATTAGATATTTTATCCAAATTGTTCAGTCCTGAAATATATCAGGCACCCTGTGGTAGAATACTTTACGAAAAGAAAATTATAGCCTTGGAATGATCTGTTTAGAATAAATGCAACTTGGTTTGACATTTTGATTCCTAACACAATGAACTTAATTTATTTTCAAGTATGGTACACATGTCAAAATACTTTTTGGGGCCACTATACATATATAGAATATATCTATTAGAATAAATAGAAAAATATGTTAATATATATTAATACAGAATTTAGATTGCCCAGGGATTGCATATATTTGTTTAATTCGAGCAGCACACTTGTTTGCTTAATTAAGAACTGATTATCAGAATTGGGTATTAGAACTTAAAATACTGGGCTGCCACAAGAAAAGCTTTGGAAATTTTTAACACATTAATACAATATATGGTTACAATTTATTGTATCACTGTGTTCATGTTTCTCCTAATGTTATATGGCCTTATCTAATAACCCTTCAGTTTATTGAGACCTTAAGTAACAATGCTTAATTGTGATTGGAACTATTGTGCAGGTCTTGTGGATGTTGGGGAAACCTGGTGCTGTGCTGAGGATTTACCCCCAGAGGAAATGAAAGAGCTGGAGAAAGCAGCTTGTCTAACAGGACTTCAACAGAAATACCTTACGAGACTGTCCAACCCGCGTTGGCTCACAGAGCCACTGTATTTGAGAGGACATAAAAATGTGTGGACAGTTAACATCCCAGAACGTCTCCTTCCCTCTGATGAACAAGAATAATGGAATCCAGTGGTCATTATCATTGAGCTATAGCAGTGACTCATTGAGACTTGCAGTGTTTTTTAGTTTTGTTGAATAACTAGTGATGGATTGTATTAAGGAACTACACTACTGTTTTGTCTGAACATTGAACTTATGTAATGATTCATTTGATGAGACCTGAATCATTTCCACTGCCAAAAAACAAATATATCATACATTGAAAACCAACAGCCATGCAGTTCGCGTTTTATTGTGAATCTAGTTCTAATAGTAGTTTCAGAACTAAAGGGGAATGGACAATTAGTGACAGACCTTGACCTATCTAGCTTTCTAAGAGCTCTTATTGGACAGAGGGTTGTGGACAAATTTGGGGCAAGGCTGGGCCAGTGCTCTGGACACCAGGCTGCTCATGCTGGCCGGCACAGATGGCGACATCCAAGCGATGTAGATTGACTCCCAAGCATCTAGGGTAGCCTGAAGCTGGGCAAGGTTCAGGCTTTCAGCCAAGGAGATGCAAGGAAGATCCATCTCTTGGAGCATGTTAGAGTCCACCCTGGACTCAGTGGTGGAGGAGGACGACTCATCAGTATAGGTTCCTTCGTCATTTAGGCCTTGTTGGCTGAGGCTGAGATTCTGAGGAGTCTCCATAGCATCAGGAGTCATCTCTTTATTCAGGCCTGGATGAGGGGACTGGCTCTGTAAGGTCGAGGCTGAAATTGTCCTGGGTTTGGAACCAGAGCCTAGTTTAGTCTTGACCTTCACACGACACTTCATGTGGATCAGAAGCTCAGGGTGCCCTTGGCGGAAGAAGCTGTGGTGGAGCACTTGTTTCTGGGAAAAACAAGGAAAATGAGAAGACAGCATCTTCAATGCATGCTTGAAAGCTATTCAGCTGAAGATATTAAAAGTCAAGGGTCTTCAGTTCTGGTCCTGGAGTGCCAGAATCCAGCACAGTTTGGTGATTTCCCTGTTGTAACATCACTAAGCTGGGAAATCTGGCCCTCAAGGAATTGATGATGCATATTCTTATCTTGGTTACAGATTCCTGTGTCCATAAAAATGCTTCCTGACTTGCCTGCTGGAACCCGTACAAGTTAAGCTCCTTCATAACTGTGGTCACAAAGATCTTTGACTCCCTGTCTCCTGAGAATTTCAGTCATGCACCACTCACTGTCTGACTGTGCAGATCCTACACTTGTCCCATCTGATGGACCTGTAGACCTCATTCTCCACAATGTGCCACAATTTATGCGGGAAGTTGAGCGCAGAGAAGAAGTGCATGAAAGGAGCTGTCCTCCTGAGCTGCTCAGTTTTTTTAGCTATGTCATCTGCTTTTAATTACATTAGCTCTCTCATCGTTTAGCACAAATAATTAATCTATCCTTGATTGAGAGTGTGAAATCAGGAATGAAATGCTGAAATGCTGGGTTTATATAGCCTACCTGACAGTTTTAATGTCCAGTATAAAAGCATCTGGAAACAAGTTTATGTCCCTGTTCACAGATTTAATTTTTTTGTGTAGACTAATGATGTTTATGTAGGCTGAATGTGTAGTGCGAATGGTTTTAGTCCAATATACCTACCATGCTTTGTACTTTTTTCAGGTTTTGTTATCTATGCCATTCCATATGGGGACAAGTATAGGTAAAGTGGAATTAATGTATTTTAAAACATCTCATATGTTTATTATATATTATAATTGTATATTATAAGTTCAACAGCTTCTTTTTCTAACAGCATCGACCCCTGTTCCTTTCCTAACTTACTGCATCTAAAATGATTTCTTAATATTGGTATTGTTCGTTATATCCCAAACGTGGATCTGCAACTCAGGGTGTCCTCGGTAGAAGAAGCTGTGGTTAATGTTAGCTTGCTTCTCAGAAAGTGACTGGGCCTAATGGTGCATTTTGGGAAGTGTAGTCTTGTTGATTGGAGGCGATGACGTCGGCGAAAGGCTGTGCCATATTCGCAAACATTAGGAAACCCAGGCAAATGTGGAGCGGGGTAGAAGAGTGGTGTAGAGGTGTGAGACACGGCAAGACCTGTTCGCACACCGGCGTAGTTTCTCACATACATACACCCGCGCAAACTGGAGGGGCAAAATGGACAAACACTCGAGTTGCAACAGCTCAGAGGGCACTGCGCCTCACACTAATTCAAACAGAAAACTCTCTCGGAGTCTAGCGAGTTCTGGGTCTCGTCCGTCGAGCATGGAGACCTTAGACAGGTAAGTGAATGGCAAGCCATGGGAATGAGTAACTTTTCGCGTAAAGCTTATGTAAACCGGATTTGCTTTGTGGCTGTTTACCCTAGAGCTACATAGTTAGACTGGAGTACACGTAAGCACAGGCTAGTAAAAACGAGAGAAGCATTGAAGCCTTGTTGTGAACGGGACCTTAAAGACTGAGAGGAATTATTTTCATGACATTCCAGAACTGAGGAGTTATATATTTTGATATATTGTAATGTATCAGAACTGCACCTGCAGTATATTGCTTGGTGAGACAAGTTTAACATTTTCTTAAAAGTGGGATTCCATCTATTTTTTTTCATATTTTCTGCATTCGGAAATTGTTATAATGTAAACAAAGTCATTCAGAGTGCTTTCATGTTGTAATAGGAACCAGACGTATAAAGCAGTTAATGCCTCTAAAAGCGACCTCACAGAAAGCTAAAACGTGAAGTGATCCTAAATATGTTGTTTGATGCCTAAAACATTTTTTCGGGATAGTTTTGGGGTAAGGTTTTGGCCTAAAATATATTCTTTTTAAATCCTTTCATAGCAAATAGACAGATTATTTTGTTTTAAGGCAAAGTACCCAAAGATTTACCATCATCAACATTACCTTAAAAATGCATGTGTAGATTAACTGGTCATTTTGGACAGCAAATAAAATAGCTATATCTGCAGTGCGGACATCGCAACCCCTGGTTCCTATCACCACCAATATAAAGAAATGAGAGTCTGTAAGTTCCTCTACAATTTCACATCAAACCTCTCTGAATAATTGTTGACAGCTCAACAACTGAATTTTGCAGGAATTTAGGAAAAGAGCTGCAATAATTATAACCCCACTTCCAAAAAAGTTGGGATGCTGTGCAAATGTGAATAAAAGAAATGCATTGAGGTGTAAATCATTTAAGCCCTATATTTAATTGAAAATAGGGCAAAGACAACACATCAAATCTTTAAACTGATAAATTTTATTGTTTATTTGAAAAATACATACCCGTTTAAAACTTGATGCCAGCAACACTTTTCAAAAAAGTTGGAACAGGGGCAACAAAAGACTGGTAAAGTTGTGTAATTAAAAAAATAAATAAATAATAATGAAAAAACCAAAGTGGATCATTTTACAACTAATTAGGTTAATTGGTAACAGTCCAGTAACATTGGGTATAGGAAGAGCATCCTAGAGAGGCTGATTCAGAAGTAAAGATCTGGAGGGATTCAGCTGTGTGGATGACTGTGTGGGCAAATAATAACGTTTCTCAGCATAAAATAGCAAAGCACTCATCATCTATGGTACATAATATAATTAAAAGATTCAGAGAATCTAGAGAAATCTCTGTATGCAAGAGACATGGATAACAACCAATACTAGCTAGCAGTGAACTTCAGGGCCTCAGGTGGCACTGCATTAAAAACAGACAGATGATTCTGTAGTGGAAATCACTGCATGGGCTCGGGAACACTTCTGAAAACCACTGATTGTGAAGACAGTTTGTTGCTGCATCCACAAATGTTAGGTTAAAACTTTACCATGCAAAGAAGAAGGCACATAAATAGGATTCAGAAACACAGCCACCTTCTCAACAATAACATTTCTCACTTTTAACATTTGATATGTTATCTTTACTATTTTCGATTAAATATAGGGTTTAAATGATTTGCACATCATGGTATTCTGTTTCTTCATATACATTTTGCACTGCATCCCAACTTTTTTTGAAAAGAGGGTTGTATCATCAATTTAAGGCATGTAACATCTTTCTTTTAGTCCCACAGGTGCCCATGTTGAATGGTGCAAACAGTTAATTGCAGCCACAATCTCAAGTCAAATCTCAGGGCCCATCGCATCAGAAACCATCTCTCGAGACTATAAGGTATCTGTGTGTGTGTGTGTGTGTGTGTGTGTGTGTGTAAAAGAGAGAGAGAGAGAGTGAGCCAGCCAGACAGACAGACAGACAGACTCAAACATTCCTCACTAGCAACGTGTCTTCTTAGGAAATTCATTACAGATGCTTCAAGAGCTTTAGGATACAAGAGCATTAATAGTTATTTGACTGTCTGATTGATAGTTATTATCTATTTACTACTATTCACTATGTACTAAGAAATGACTCTGTAATTTAATGTAAAGTGTGTAAAGTATTTATCTACTGAAATACACAGTAAATATGCACTTGAAGTCTGCATCAAGGAGTTGTGCTTTTGCAAAACACTGTTTTTGGCTCCTCATACCCCACCCTACTTTGAATTGAATATCTGTCCTCTTATGCAAGAGACAGCTTACTGCAGACAGAGCAAGAGCTGTTTTAGCTGTTAAGACCTGTGTAAACGAACGTCTCTTATGTGAAGTCATTCACTCAGTGTGAGTACAAAAATGCAGATTTATGGCCACAGCCTCTTCTTGAGGCCTCCCCAGCAGCTGAGAATGTACTCATCCAAAAGGGTTCTGCAGAGCATGGTGCAACTTTACTCGTGAAATTAGTTCTTAAGTGCTCTGAAAGCTATGTGTAACCTATGGTTACTGGTAGGGATAGGAATCATAGTTAAAACTGAATGTAATAAGCAGAAACCTTCTGCAGCTTTAGAGGTTTTTGTTTTTTTTTTGAGATTTTTATTTTGGAAAGCTAAATATATTTTACGTCCAAACCCTGCCCTACGAGCCTTTTGTAGTAAAGGTTTTGCTATGTGGTTAGAATATGCATGTGGCAACTTGGAATAACACTAAGAATCGCGATCTGTGCAGTGTGGTGGTGATAAAATATTAAGAGAAAGGATTGTCTACAATCACTTCCCCCTTAAATGTATTTGCTTTGACTGTGAAAGTCAAATACTGTTCCCAGGTCACCACTTACATGTAATACAGAGTTACCAGTTTATTAGGTACACCTTTTACCTGAACTTAGCGGCTATTTTATTGGGTCCACTTTGTAGGTTTACAGTTACTGACTGTAGTCTGCCTTTTGCTGCACAATCTATAAGCCTCTGGAATGGAAATCAAATCATCAAACGTGGTAGTGGCATGATGGCCTGTGTTGCACTGGTGTGACTGTATCAGGCACAGCAGTGTTGCTTTAAACTCTGTAAACTTGCTGGCAACTTTATTAGGCACATCTTGTAGCTCATTTCTTTCCATTCACAATTTGTCAGTCATCTTCTGCCCCTTCCATTCAGCTTTAATCGGGCCTGAAATTTTGCTCCGAACCTTAACGTAGTCCAAGAATTTTCCGTGCCCCACAGCACTGTGTTTTGAGTCCGAACGTGACCCGAGCCCAGCAAAATTCTGTCTGAAACGGACCCAAACTACATCATCATCAATGCACTGTTTGCATGCTATGTGGTGCTGAAAAAGCAGGATATTGGCCTTCGCCTGTTTAATACTAAACCTTTATTACTTTACATAGGACACTATATAATATATTGTGCATACAAATTAGTTTGGCCAAATAAATTAAACATATTAATGGCTTCACTAAACTGGACTTTGCTTAATTGATTCACTGGTTATTTCTATTAACTACTATGCATTCCGTCCACTTTCTCACAAGCATGGGTTTTGTGGACGTCAGTACTAAATTCTGTGAGTAATACGAATGGGTGACTCCAGCATACCAAATTAAAAACTGTTTTAAGGTAGAAAAAGTAATAAGTAAGAATAAAGCAAGGAGAAAAACAAAAGCAGGTGAAATGCAGACTCGAAAGTGGGAGGTGACTGTGAGAACCTGAACAAAAAATCTGCTTGAAACATAAAACACTGCTTGAGACTGACACACATGGAAAATGATGTCCGAGTTCATGAGTAATTGGGTCCTGAAGGGCTCAGACAAATATCGTAAGCTCCCCCTCTTCAGTGGTCAGTTCCTGACCACAGGTCCACTGTTTGATGAATATTTTGGTTGGAGGGCAGTTGCCAACAGTATTGTGCATGTCACAGCAGTTACATTGAAATATTTAAAAGAAACAGCAACGCTGCTGTTTATGACTTTGAAGTCACAAACAAGCACCAAATATGAATTCTTTTTGTCTTATTGTGACATTTTGCTTTAAAAACTCTCTGTTTCCCAGTCTGCATACTCATTTGGAAACTCCAACAACTTCTGACATTTCACGTCCTGTTCCTCTTTGTATACTTTCGCTGTAATATGGCAAGTCTTGCAAAATCAGCTGAATGGTTCTCACTGTTCTCAAACCTTTGTCTTTGTCACTGTTTGGTACGGTCACTGGGGTGATTTCTATAACTGTCCCCTTTTTTGTTCCCTCTCCTCTTCTGTCCGTCTCTCTTTTTTCTTGTTGTTTTGCCATTTTTTGCTCTAGGACTATGATGTTGGTGTTAAAGGATTTCTCTCGGACAGTGATCCTCAGCATACGCCCTCTTCCTTGGCAAGTCCATGTGTGTGTCTGTCAGTGTGTGTTCCCTAATGCCCAAAAGACATGACTAAACCTGAGCGTGATATCCAAAAGCTTCACTGAACATTATGTAGTAGTCTATCAAGAAGTATTAAAAGTTCTGCTGCAGAGGTTTTGGAAACTGCAGGCCAGATGATCAAGTGGAGACACTGTTGTAAGACTGAAGAGATACGCAGGCAATCAGAGAGCAACACAATGCAACAAGCAGAAAAACATGAGTAAGAGATAATCTACAGAAATAATTAGTTGAGAAAACAGAACGAGCCAGGAGAATCGAACATACAAGGCTCTCTCTGCACAAGGGAGACAGATGCTTTGTTATTGGAATAGGATTACTAATAGGCCTAAACCCCCAAATTCTAAAGTCTAACAATGAACAAAGGCTGGTGAGGACCTTGAGCCGATTAACTTCATTCCAGCTGACCCCTGCTTAGCTTTCATTAAACTATCAACTATGTAGCATTTTGTGGTTCAGTATACTTTTAAGAAAAACAAGGCTCATGTCCACAGTTTTATTAGAAATGCATGAAACTCTCATCTAACATCTGTCATGCCCTGCCATGCACTGACACCCAGCCTCTCTGTTTCCATGAGTATGATAATTGGAGCTGCAAGGAGCCATTGTGTGCTTGGTAGTGATGCTGTCCTGTGTGGCTTTCCCTCAGTCTGCCCCTTGGCCCACAGCTGGGCAGCCAACAGAAAGGCTGAATTCTCTGCAGCCTTCTGCATTCTGTGAGGCTTGCCAGACAGCTAGGCCATTGTAGGTGGAGTGGTCCTCTGGGTCTCTTGTTCATCTGTTGAATGTCCACTGGGGTTCCACTGCGTGGTTGTATGAGCTGGACCCATACAAATCCAGTCTCTCACAATTAGCGTGGTGTTCTGGGAGCAAATTCTGCACTGAACACATTCACAGTCATTCAGATGAGAAAGGCAAAACCTTTTTGGAGAAGCGCTCTTGTTTTGGGAAATTTGAACTATGCAAACATTGATTTTTTTACTGTCTTGGTTATCTTGTATTGAATGGGTTTAAGGTGTCTTTTATTGATTGGTTTAGGTGACTGGATTTTTCCCTGGCAAACACTTGGTGTAGCACAGCTACACTATATAGCCAAAAGTATGTGGATACCTGACCAACATGCCTATATGAGCTCGCTGGACATCCCGTTGCAAAACCATGGGCATTATTACGGAATTAAGCTCCTGATGTGCAGTTCTTTTTTTGATAGAGGCAGTTTGGAACTCTGTAGTGAATAATGCAATAGAGGATAAGCACTCAACAGCTCCGCTCTATGAGTTTGCATGGTCTAATGTTTCATGGCAGAGCTGTTGTTGCTCCTAGACACTTCCATTTTACAATAATAGCACTTACAGTTTAACGAGGCAGATCTAGCAGGGTGGAAATTTCATAGCCTGTTTTGTGGCTAAGGTGGCATCTTATGACAGTGCCATATTTAAAGGCACTGAATGTCCAAACTTTGTTCAAAGAGGGCCAGGACATCCTATCTCAAAATACCTGATGGCTGAAATATTGTTCATCAGTGATTGAAAATATTAAGTTTTTAAAAGATCAGTGCATAGAATTGGAGCTCTCTGTGAGCTACTGTGTTTCTTATCACTGTATAAAAGATGCAAGAGACATCTTTTATTGTTGGATTGCTCATAGCAATTTGGATTGATAAGCGCTTATAACAAATCATTAAAATGTTTAAAACTAACAACAAAACATGTCTAATTTCTTAATTATATTTCTATTCAAGTGTTTACTTAAAAAATAAGTTGTAAGACAAACTGAACAAAAATCTATAAATTTAGTTTTGTTAGTGTTCTTTACATATCAAATAAATGCAGCGACAGCATTCAGAAATCACTTTACTAAACAAGAAGGTTAAACAGCACCAATGCCCATGTTTCTGTTTGACCTTAAAGGGTTAATATTTACTAAACTAAAAAAATTGCTCCGGTGAGAAGTTGGTGCTGTGAGACTCAGGTAGTTGCAGTTGCTTTAGTTTGTCTGCCCTCTCCTGAATGTTTATTGTAATGTTCATGCTGAGTTTCATGTCTGTTGCTATTAAATTGATTACAGTCTTTTGAAATATGAGGTACACGCATTTGCTGTAGCTCTTGATGGAAGAACGATTCAAATTTCCATCTTGCCAAAATCACCCGTTTTCGGTGTTAAGTTTGTGCTCTGTGGCTGTAGTCTTGACTAAATGTCATTCAGTAAATGAAGCTGCAGGTCTAGTCAGAGAAGAAAACTTAACTTTAACTTAAACTTTAACTTTGTTACCACAGTGTGGCGCGTTACACTGTAATTTTACAGAACTGCTGCCACCATCAGGTGAAAGAAAACACAGCAGCATACTGGCTGGTGGGCCACTTATAACAAACTCTAAAAAAGAATTCACGGGCCAATTAAAATCTGCCCACGGGCTGCATTTGGCCCTGCCGCCAGACTTTGGACACCCCTGCCACAGGAGAACAACTTTTGGATCCCTAAAGAATGTTTAAATGGATGGTTTATAACTATATATAGCAATTTTTAGTGAAATGTGCAAATGTGAGGAACTATTTTAAAACTACCTCCACGTAAAGCTGTATTTTGATTTCATATAACTTTACACCCAATCCAAGAACCATTTCGGAACCCTTATTTTTAAATGAATGGTTCACCAAAAAATGTACACAATTTACTCCTTACTCTAAACAAAGCCAAGACATATTTTGGAGTTCAGAACTTTCTGTCTGTAGTTTTGCAGTAGATCTACAAAGCTTATTTACCTTTAAAAAAATTCATTCATTCATTCATTCATTCATTTGAGTGACAAGCTTGTATTATATTTGCCCCATACCTCCACTACAAAACTAAAGACCTTAAACATGTCTTGATTTTTTTTATGAACCATTTTGGGATTTACAGTGAAGAAGCATAATTTCTAAGCCAAAGTCCTCCAGAAAACTATTGCATTGAAACTATCAGTAGTATTGAATGCACTTTCTTGCTTTCAAAGTTGTTTTCTTGCTATGTCTAAGGCTGTTTAGACTTGTGGGCACCAGGTTCTTGCAGACTTTGTAGACCACCAGCTTCTTGTCATTAAACTGCTTTGGCTATGAGCAGACTGAATCTCTAAAGACAAAAATACAGCCAGAGTTTATTCATGTTTATTTTAAGCCCTGGTCATCGGACAGGGTATTTTTCTTAAGGCCATAACCAAATGGAACAGAGAATGGGAGTGGTTGCAAAGACTAAACCTGGATTTGGTTCCTTAAAGTCCTCATAGAACATTGTTATATGGTAGAGTACAACTGTCCACCATATAATAATGAAAGTTGATATAAGCTGCTGCAAAGGTTTTAAAAACTACAGGCCAGATTGAGTGAAGAGACAGACAGAAGACTGAATAGACACCCATACAGTAGCCAGACAGACAGCTAGACAGCAGGCAGGGTACAGCAATAAGGGCATGCAGCAGGGAATGTGAGTGGTTGCAAAGGGAAACCTCATGAAGTATATTCTTGTATGTAACCAGTAATTTTGAGAGCAGGTTTTATTTTTGCAAGCTTGAGACTTCACTACGAGCTGTTTCTAGAAACACATTCGCTGGTGCCTCTGTGTTGTGTTGTTGCTGTAATTACATCAGGAAGTGTCCTCATTTCTCAGTCACACCCATATTTCACTAATTGCTATTGTCCTTTTGCATGTACTGACTTACCTGATTGTCTTTTGTTTTTTAGTGTGTTATTGTAACTCATAGTTCCATGAAAAAGATAAAATAAATTGACTTGGTTGCTTTTAGATCTGTGTTTTGAAGTATGTGTATGTGTGCCTCAAGCCTAATGCTGCATTTTTCTGCATCAGGCACTAAGGGAAGGTAATAAGCAAGCACAGATGGAGGAGGCTCCACGTGTACCTGGGGAGACCATCAAAGCCATAGGTAAGGTAAGGCTACATGGCTACTACATGTTAAACATCTGGTTAAGTAATTATCTTACCATTAATTGTGATTATATAAGTCTGTGGGCCCCTGTCGCTTCATGTCCACGATTTATACATAACCCCATGTGTCAAACACAAGGCCTGGGGGCCAGATCAGGCCCGTAGTATAATCCTGTCTGGCCCACAAAATTATTTTCATTTTCTATTAATGTTAGCCTGTTTGTCATCGTGCTGCACTACAATCCCCAGCATTCACTGCAGCATTATGTGTGTAATGTAATGTAGCCTATTGTAATGTGCATAATGTTGTGTACTGTAGCCTAATTATAGCTCAGATTATAGCAAAATGTTATTTAACAGTCAAATAAAATCACAGATGTTCTCTGGCCCACAGATTTGTTGTGAATTTTTAATATGGCCCTTATAGTGGTTGGGTTTGACAGCCCTGCCTTAAACTGTAGGCTTATTTTTCTGTTAATATTTATTATTCAGTAATTACTATAAATCACTCGGTTAACTACTGTGAAACTAATGTGTAAGTTAGGGCTGCATAGTGTATTTGTTAATCATTATCACAATTATCACAAAAAGTGATTTTTCATTTAAATATCTGTATAATTTTTAAAGTAAAATTCGAATGTAAATAAAAAGGGGGGGTTGGGGGGGGATTGTGGCCTGCTGCTGGAGCCTATCCCAGCGGTCATTGGGCGAAAGGCAGGATACACCCTGGGCAGGTTGCCAGTCCATCGCAGGGCAGACAGACAGACATATACATTCACACCTAGGGAGCAATTTAGCATGTCCAATCAGCCTGACTGCATGTCTTTGGATTGTGGGAGGAAACCCATGCAGACACGGGGAGAACAAGCAAACTCCACACAGAAAGGACCCTGGTCGCCGGCCAGGAATTGAACCCAGGCCCTTCTTGCTGTGAGACGACAGAGCTACCCACTGCACCACCGTGCCACCCTCATTCCTGTCACCAGCATTATAAATAAATCTGTTCCATTCATTGTATTTCAACCATTGAATTATACAGAACTTACGAAAAATCCCCTTTAACGAATCATAAAATTGTTTATCAATCCAATCCAGCACCCCTTATTCTGATCTAATTAATGCATAATATAAACACACAATCTGATGAGATTTAATCCAGTATATTGTCTGCTATGATGGATGTGTTCAATACAACAGCTTCGTCTTTTGTTCTTCTCAGTTTTTCATCTTCATCTTGGTAACACACAAGACCCAAGCATGCATAGTCTAAAACAAAACAACAACAGCAGCAAACAATAACAACAGTATAAGTTTACTTGTTTTTCTGGGGTCTGCCTCAAGAAGCAGGATTTCTGGCTTGCTGCAAGCTAACCTGTTTCTGAGGCAGGCGAAGGCCATGTTATCAGAATATAACCAGCTTTTGGGTGAACATCTGACCAATCAGGGACAGCCCTCTGATGAAATTGGACCTCTCTGGTTTGTGATGTCTGGGGCATTAATCACACAAAAATATCACTTTTTAGCAGAGCAAACATATTATACTACATAGATATCAAGAATATAAAGCAATTATTACTCTAATAAGCAATTGTGATAGCCTTTTGCTGTTAAATATGCTTTATTTTGCACATATTTACATAGTATGATTTTCTTCCTTCATTAAAAAAAACCTGCAAACCTGCATGATTTGCTAATTGGCTGTTCTTTATAAAATCAAGATGGCCTGTGCATGTGCATGAACATTAATACAGCCTGATTATTCTTTCTTATTATGAGCTAGTATCACATATTTATGACTTTGAATTTGTCTCATAATTATGATCCAAGTCATTTTTAGGTAATACTAAATCAAAATTTTAATAAACTTCCATATTCCATATTCATCATTATAAGACAGCAAGTCAGAATTGTAAGAAAAGTTGAAATATGAGACAGGACCTCATTATTATGACATAATAAGTCATTATTATGAGATAGTAAGAAATAAGTATATTATAACATCTCATTATGATGAGAGAGGGTGTCATTGTACTCCCTATCTTTTCATTACACTAAGTCCAAATTATGAGATATTACCTTATGATTGAGAGGCTGTGTCATAAGTATGAGATGCTATGTCATAGTTACAAGATACTAAGTCATAATCATGGGAAACTTTCACGTTATTATTACTTACTAAATGTCTTTTTTCAGTGGCAGAAACAGGCTTCCATACTGCACAGTTATGAATTAAATGAATGTTATATTTCACATTTAAATATTATTCTGTGTAATACAGACATCCTCTCTTGTTACAGCCAAAGACGTCATGTACATCTGCCCTTTCTCTGGAGCTGTGAGCGGCACCCTGACCATCACCGACTACAAGCTTTACTTCAAAAGTCTCGCTCGGGTAGGCCATGTTTTCTGCTTTCCTGTTCAAGAGATTTTAGTGGCCATGAAAATGAAAATGCTCCAGAATTCCTTGGAATAAAATCTTTTTACATTAACTTACATTAAATGTAAAGAACATATTTGCCTCTTCTTTGAAGTTAGCATTTTGGAGATACTTGTTTTACTTTGGACAGTGAAGATATTCTCTTACTAGTCTCCCTCATTCATTTAATATTTTAAGGCCTACCTTTTTAAGGCTTTCTTGTTTATCTTTTTCCAGTAGTTTTTATTATTGTTTTATTTTGAAATCTTTGAAAGTCTTCGCATGTTTTGTTATTGTTTAAATAAGTCCACTATTATAATTTGGTATTTTTGTAGAAAAACTCTGATTAGTCAATTAATAATCTACTAATGGGCACTCATGGGCTGGAGGTTAGGGAACCAGCCCTGTGACCGGTTTGATCCCCTGAGCCAACAGTACGTGACTGAAGTGCCCTTGAGCAAGACACCTAACCCCCAACTGCTCTCTGGGCGCTGTGGATAGGGCTGCCAACCACTCCGGGCAACTGTGCCCCCTAGTGTGTGTGTGCTCACTAGTGTATGTGGTGTTTCGCTGCACGAATGGGTTAAATGCAGAGGTGAAATTTCCCCATTGTGGGAATAATAAGGGTCACTTAATCTTAATCCAAATAATCAGTAGGTTACTTGATTACTGATCTAATCAGTAGTGACAGCTCTAGAATTAAACCCTTGTATTAACTTGGCATTGTACTGTCTCTGTAAGGATCCTCCGTTTGTTTTGGACGTGAACCTGGGAGCTATTAGTAGGTTGGAGACAATTGGGGTGCAAAGTCATGGAGAGAACACGCGGGGCCTAGAAATAGTCTGCAAAGTAAGTTAGAGTCTGTCTTGTACTCACACTCTCTCATAAAGTTTATTTAACTGAAGTGCTGTCATACAAAACCTCTAAATGTTCTCATCCACTTAAAGGACTTAAGAAGCCCAAGGTTTGCCTATAAAAAGCAAGAACAAAGCAAGCTGGAGATCCTTGAGGTGCTGTCCAAGTATGCATTCCCTCTCTCTCATGACTTGGTAAGGCCTAAAGCAAGCACCAGTGGTTATTCTTCTTTAATAAGGTCAGTTACAAAAGTGTAATATTATGTAATAAATTGCTTGAAGAAAAACATATTCATTTTGATTAATTTGCTCACCAGAAGCATTTTTGGATTATTTAGCCAAGTTAAAAATGTCTAAAATGCAGCAATAAAGCTAATATGAACGTGCTAGATAACCTGCAATAAAAATCTATTTTTCCAAAACATGTAATATTTTATATTGTATACATTGCATTCTGTTACTTAATGATGGTGCATTTATTGTTATGTAGTCTTACATATGCTCTCTTGGCCTGTAGCCTCTTTTTGCCTTCAGGTACCAGGAGAGGTTCCCAGAAGATGGCTGGAAGGTCTATGATCCTTTAGCTGAATACAAGAGACAGGTAAAAGGCTTTTGCAACCCCAGCTTATAAACAGTTTACATAACATCATGAGATATTTATTTCTGGTATTTCCTGTCCGGAAACAACTTAGAGCTCATGCAGCTGACCACAGTACAACAAAGTAAATATAGACATAAAGACAAAAAATAGCATGCAGTACTCAGAGAAAGGTACTGTTTACATTTACCTCTACCTCTTAGAATGGTGCATTAAAGTATGTACATGTGTTTAGGTTCATGCACAAATTGATCAATTTTTCATAGCACTTGCATAATGTAAGGCCAAATAGAAATGTCAAACAGATTAACTTTGTGCATGGCAGATAATTTTAACTGGGCCTGACTAGCTTTAATTCAGTGTCAGTTACATTAGCACTTTTAATACGAACCCTTATTCATTATTTATCTACGGTACTCAGCAGTCAAAGTCAGAGACCACCCTTTCATTTCATAAGCACAATTGATTCATTTTTCATATATATATACATACACACACACACACACACACACACACACGCACCTTCACGTGACATTAGTACAAAGACAAAATATCTATTGTAGAAACTGGGAAAATTGAATGTTTTTTGAGGAACAAATGGCCATTTGAATTTGATACCAGCAATACATTTCAAAAAAAGGGGAAACAAAAAACTAGAAAGTTGGGTAATGCTAAAAAAAGGCACCTGGCGCTTAAATGGCAACAGGTCAGTAACATGATTGTGTATAAAAAGAGCACCCAGACAGGCTGAGTCTTTCAGAAGTGAATATGGGGAAGGGTTTACCACTCTGTGAAAGATTGCGCAGGCAAATAGTGCAACAATTCAAGAATAAAGTTTTTCTGTGCAAAATAGCAAAGAACTTGGAATTTTATCATCTATAATACGTAATATCTTTAAGAAATTCAGAGACTCCAGAGAAATCTCTGTATCCATTTAGCAAGGCTGAAAACCAGTATTGGCTGGCTGTGTCTTCGCACCCTCAGACATGATTCTGCAGTGGAAATCACTGCATGCACTCAGGAACACTTCTGAAAACCACTGATTGTGAGCACAGCGTGTTAATGCCACCACTAATGCAAGTTAAAACTCTACCATGCAATGAAGAAACCACATATAAACAGAATCCAGAAACCCTGCCGCCTTTACTGGGCCCAAGCTCATTTAAGATGGACTGAGGCGAAATGGAAAAGTGTCTTGTCATCCAAATCAAAATTTGAAATTCTTTTTGGAAATCATGGACACTGCATCATTTGAAGACCACCTGGCTTGTTATTAGCGCACATTTTAAAAGTCAGCATCCATGATGGTACAGGGGTGCATTAGTGCACATGGCATGAGTGACTTGCACATCTATGAAGACACCATTAATGCTGAACGATATGTACAGGTTTTGGCAACATATGCTGCCATCCACATAATGTCTTTTTCAGGGAAGGCCTTGCTTATTTCAGGAAGATAATGTCAAACCACATTCTGCATGCATTACAACAGCATTGCTCTATAGTACGAGTCCAGGTGCTAAACCTGCCTGTCTGCAGTTCAGACCTGTCACCTACTGAAAATATTTGGCGCGCTATAAAATAAAAAAATATGACAAAGGTGACCCCGAACGTTTGAGCAGCTGAAATTCTGTATGAATCAAGAACGAGAAAGCATTTCGCTTTCAAAACTACAGTAGTTAGCCTCCTCAGTTTCCAAGCTTACAGAGTGTTGTTAAAAGAAGAGATGATGCAACACAGTGGTAAACATGCCCCTGTCCCAATTTTTTGGAACATGTTGCTGGCATCACATTCAAAATGGGCATATATTTTTCAAAACACACTAAAATTTCTCTGTTTCAACATTTGATATGTTGTCTTTATAATATTTCCTGTTTAATCTACAACGTAAATGATTTGACTGAACTTAACCAAAGGCATTGTGATTAGTTATGTTACTGAACCAATCAAATTCTCTATTATGATATGTAATGACGAAGTTCAGTCTTAGAAGTTGGTTGCATTTTCTACTTCTCGTGACTTCAGAAATATAATCATGTGTGCTTCTGTACTTAATGGCCATTTTGACTGGAAATGAAATAACTGGTGTATGGTCTCTGTCTTTTGCGCAGTTCTCTTCACTTTGAGGTAAAATGTTACTTTTGGACTTTAGGGCATAGATAACTGCTAATACAGACTTCAGCAGAGACTATGAGCAGTTAATCTTTTAAAAATGTAGTCAGAGGACCTCATTCTCCAATATCTTCCTAATTTTATACTTTCTTAAGAATGGTTAGTCAATAAGGCCCAGAGAGTTCATTCAGGGCAACTCTGTGTGTTACACAGGGTCTGCCTAACGAGAGCTGGCTCATCAGTAAGATTAACAGTAGTTATGAGGTGTGTGAGACATACCCGGCGCTGCTCGTCCTGCCTGCCAGCATCAGCGAAGATGAGCTGAGAAGAGTGGCTGCCTTCAGAGCAAAGCGCCGCTTTCCTGTAAGTATATGACACTTTTGTTTTCGTTATTTAATAAACTTCTAGGGCATATGTAATTTTCAGTCTGAACACAAAAGTATGTAATCATACGATTTAACAAAGATGGGTTTAAAAACATAGTTGAAAGAGAAAAAAGTATTCAAGCACCACAAATTATCATCATTAATACTTATTGGCAGTTACAGCTTAGAGTCATCTATGTGATTAGCATTTGCAGCATTGTGGTTCAATTTTGGCCCATTCCTCTTCGCAGTCCTTCTGTTGGACTTGCAAGTTCAAAATCCTCCATAAATTTTCGAGGGGGATTCTAGTCAGGAGATTGGTTAAGAAATGCAGGCACCTTCACCTTTTTTAGAAACCAGTCGAGTTATTTTGGCTGTATGTTTGGGGTTGTTTTTGTGTCGAAATGTCCATGTTCACCATTTTTGCCGATGAGATTAAATTCTCCTAAAATGTTTCCACATCACTCCATTCACGTTTCTTTTGATGACGTGTACATAGATGTGAAACTGTAGCGAGTTACCCTTATATTCACAGCTTCCATACTGTATAATTCATTGATGCCTGTATAACACAATGTTAAAAACATCAATTTATCCTGTTTTTACATAAGAACTTTTTTATTTTCACAGCATTTAACCTAAAATTTGTATTTGTTTACATGTCTTTGTTTATGCTTATGAAAACATGCTTTTTTGTTCATGTTTCTAAATACAAAGGAAAACTGTACATTTAAAGTGAGTGTAGGCACTGGAACTACTAAATAACAAAAAACCTCCCCCTTGCTGTGTGTGTATGTATGTGTGTATATGTATATCATATCTGAGATTATTTTAGCAGTAAAACAAACTGTTGAACAATATATTTCTCATGGTCCTTTTAATAAATTAATAATAGTAATAGCAACTGCAGTACGTGTTTCCTTGCTGTTGGCTAAATGTTACCTTTTTTTCCTCAGGTACTATCATGGATTCATCCTGAGAGTCAGGCAGCTATAGTGCGTTGTGGTCAGCCTCAGGTTGGCCCCTCAGATCGCCGCTGCAGAGAGGACGAGCGATACCTCCAGACCATCCTGGATGCCAACGCCCAGTCGCATAAACTCTGCATCTTTGATGCCCGGCAAAGCAGTGTGGCAGACACCAACAAAGTAAGAAAAGGAACTCAGCATATCAGAACTGAATCTATTGGTTAGTTTTCCAAGGGTAAACACTAAAGAAGGTATCAGATATCAAAATATCTGTACAGATAAATGTGCAAAAAGAATGCAGAGGCCTAAACATGTATTCAAAGATGTGTTTTGAATGCATTACAAGGTCAACTTTCTTCAACTGTCTTCAGGCTACAGTGATTTTAGTTACTAAAACAGTTTCTTGTTATGCCTTTTTAAGCCAGTTAAGCTTTCACTTACACAGGATGGTTACTTTTATCAATTTACACCTTTAGCTTGAACCAATTAGCAAGATAATCAATGAATACACATAACAAAATCCCAGTTTTCACTGAATCCCAGTGTTTGTGTCCACCTGGATGTAAATGAACACTGCATGAATAAGATCAGTAGTGGGGAATCAGCTATGCAGCTGCAAGCTTGATGTTATTTGTCAGGGTCTCACATTTGAATTAAATCTGTGGCTGAGACGCATGTACAGCCTCTGAATGAGGACAGGACCATACTTGTGAAGATGCTATTTCTGACAACATTTCATGGACAAGATGGATGGACACATTTAGAGATATAATAAACAAGCCATTAGGAAGCTTAAAGACACAACAAGAAGACAGGACATTCTGGCGAAACACTATCCATATGGTTGCCAGGAGCTGGATCCAACTTGACAGCTCTAAATAAACAAATAAAATGATTTTGGAATTTGTGGGGTTTTTATCCAGAAGCAAAATAGTGTTTTTCTCTTCGTACAGGCCAAAGATGGTGGCTATGAGAATGAGAGTGTCTATCCTAATGTGGAGCTGAACTTTCTGGAGATTCCCAACATTCATGTAATGAGGGAATCTTTACGCAAGTTAAAGGAGGTGGTATATCCTGCCATTGATGAGCAGCGTTGGTTCTCCTCTGTAGATGCCACACACTGGCTGGAGTACATCAGGGTGAGGAGTGGGCATATTTGCTTCACCTCAAGGCACATTTACAGGCAAATAGAATTTTATGTATTGCTTTATTTGACTTTTTCTAAGTCCTTCAGATCAAGTTTCTAAAAGTTATTTAAAACGTAACATGAAATTCAGCAACTATATTCCTGTATTTTGGCATGTGTTGCATGCAAATAGCATTACTGTCTCACACAGATGCTGTATGCTGGATTAAAACTATGTTCTGTTCTAGCTTCTTGGAGTTCTCAAAGTCTGAGCAAAGTTTGAATGGTCTAATGCCCTCTGCCTGTAGCTGTTATTGGCTGGTGCTGTAAGGATTGCTGACAGAATTGAGTCTGGGAAGACCTCAGTGGTGGTACACTGCAGTGATGGATGGGACCGCACGGCACAGCTTACCTCTCTGGCCATGCTGATGCTAGACTCACACTACCGCTCGCTGAGGGGCTTCCAGGTGCTGCTGGAGAAAGAGTGGCTCAGCTTTGGACACCGCTTTGCCTCGGTAATACTAACCTTGAAGTCTAAGATCAAGTCTGTCTTGGTTCACATTTGTGTTTGTAAATGACTCACATTTGCCATTAGTGAGAACACACCTCTGCCCTGAAAGGACCCACATGCACATATTTTCAAAATCAATAAAGTCACGTGCATGGGCACAGGCATCGTGAACAAAAGCAAAATGCCATATTTGCAAGATTTGTGCTACTTTAATCCTGTAATGTGACAGTAGTCTGATGTCATTTGTAGTGATTAATGAATGTCTAATGTCACTATATGAAAGCAAGTGGGGAGCTGCTATGTGAATACCTCATGCTAAGTGATCCCTGCCATGATTTCTTGTTCTGTCAGAAGTTAGCAAAACTTCCCATTCTCTTCTGCTTGGAGCTCTTTTTGTTCTTTTACAGTGTGTGGTTGCTTATACATAGAACACTCCTAATTACTCTGATTATGTGCTGATTGTCTCTCGCTCCTTAGCGCGTAGGACACGGTGATGAGAACCATGCTAACTCGGAGCGCTCTCCTCTCTTTGTGCAGTTCATAGACTGTGTTTGGCAAATGACCAGACAGGTGGGTAATATTTTCTGCTAACAAAATAGCTGACTTTGCATTAACAGCAGTTAAGAAAGTGAAAATTGTTACCTTTACCATTAAGGTATCTTTTCTCTCATTTTCAATATATTGGAATATAACATGAACCTTCACACACAAAGTCAACGCTGATATCAGTGTGATAACATTGTTAGCCAATGTTTCATGTCCCTCCTCAGTTCCCCTCTGCGTTTGAGTTCAACGAGCTGTTTCTCATCACCGTACTGGATCATCTCTACAGCTGCCTGTTTGGGACATTCCTCTACAACAGCGAGCAGGAACGTGTTTCAAAGGCAAGAGTACAGATAATTCAGGGCACCTGTTGGGTCAGAGAGGCTGAACTGAGTGAATAGTTCTTTCCATCAAACATCTTGTTAAGCTTTAGGCGCTTTGGTTTTTGTTTAATATTATTATTTGTATTTTTTTTTAACATATTACATATTCGAGTACACAGATTTAGCACAATCTTGTACCAAACCACACTGTCTCAAGTGATGCTCTACTGAAAACAGACTAGACTAGATTTTGTTGTGTACATATTCTTTAAAGTGAAATGAGTCTGGAAAGAAGGTCCTGAAAAACTCCAGGAAACAGATTAATTAAATACACTATGTCAACAAATGTAAGGGAAAAGTTCTAAGAATTAACATGAATTGGATAGCATATTCCTTCCAAACTGTAATGTATTTCTGAATGAAATGCTGTATCAGGGAGGGTCTCTGAGATACCAGTGTTTTCTGCAGGTGGGGTTGTTGAAACATGATATTATTGAAAATAATATTTTTTCAAAAGATTATTTTCCTTCACCCATTGGTGCATGTGATATAATCAAGACTCAGAAGACATTTTTGAGTCACTACACTGCAATGAAATATCATTAAAGTGAATTTTGTCTTTGAAAGATATGGCATGATTAATCATGCTTAATATGAACAGAAGCACAAATTAACAAGGAAAAAAGGTCCATTTTACTTTCAGACTGACTTTAATATCATTTTCCTCTCTGTAGGAAGTGTTTACTAAGACCGTGTCACTGTGGTCCTACATAAACACTCAGGCTGAGGACTTCACCAACCCACTTTACATGAACTATGAACATCATGTTCTATATCCAGTAGCCAGCCTCAGGCACCTGGAGCTCTGGGTCAGCTACTATGTACGCTGGAACCCTCGCACAAGGCCACAGGTGAGTACTGCATGGCAGTGTTTTCAAATGAGTCTTCTAAGTAAGCTGTTTATATTTAGCCATAAAAATGTCCATGTTTGGTTACACACAAACAATTTTTGCCCTTACTGACTGAAAGTCAGGGGTGTTTTATACACATACTTTGCGAAATATTCAAAAGGACTTAATCAAAACTACCAACTTAATGTCAAACAGTAGAAAATGTTCAAAATATAAGGTAGATTCAAAGTCCTTTTTGTTTTGTTGGAGAAGAATACAGAATTGTTGGTGGCAAATGCTCTTAGATTAAGATATATTTTGCAGCAGCTTCTCATATAACATAGAGATCCATTTTATTCACAAATGATTTCACTACCATGTACATTCTGCGAGGCAAAAGCAAGCAAAGCAAAAAGTGTTTAAAAAAGTTCATTCATGTTCATTTATTACATTTATAGCAAGTTATCCAGGGCGATTTTTGCCCTTTGCCCCCAATTATTTTAGACACTGGTCAAATGTTCACAGTTCACCAGGTTGAAAATTTTTCTAGCTCTGCGTAAAAAGTGTGAAGTGCTTAAAGTACTAGTTCACTAGTTTCCTAAGATAAAATAAATCTGACCCCTCTTCTATCTTTTTCTTAGGTGCCTGTTCACCAGCATATGAAGGAACTGCTAGTGATGAGGGCGGAGTTGCAGAGAAGAGTGGAGGAGCTACAGAGAGAAGCCTCTTCATCTCGCTCCCTCTCCTCATCCTCAGATCTTGGGGGAACAACTATGCACACCACCGTATGATAAATCTACAGGAGGAGAGCGAATGAAACTAGCCAGTAAAACATTTTCAAACTGTACATTGTCCAAAACAGTACTCTTCAACCCTTAATGTCCATTTCCTTAATTCCTTTTTATTTATAAAAGGACCATGCCTGTGTAATGAGTATAATGTGTGGGGTAAACTCATATTTCATCTTACACATGTGCACATAAGTTTGGATACACCTGGTCAAATTACATGTTTTGTTGATTTTCTAAGTGAATATAAGTTAACAAATCCTGTACAGAGAACACACTTTTGCACGTTAGTATACAGAATTACTGTTTTTTGCTGAACCTAACATATTGGGGAAAGGAAACATAAAACTGGCCTGTGCAAAAGTTATGGCACATTTTATATTGTATGTTTTATTTTTTGTCTGTGTCCTGTAGAGGGTGTGTTATTTTCACATAGAAAACCCACAAAACATGAAATGTGACCAGGAAGGTTGAAACCTTTGCATATGACCGTATACTTTATGGATAGATGGCAGCTTTTTCAGTGCTGGTGTGCCCCTTTGCACCATGATAATGTGGTTGGGCTGCCACCTGGTGGACGTACAGTGGTGGATTGTGGGTGTTTCCGCATCATAAGTGCACAAAGTAATATTTTAGTTTTTATCATTAAGAATTTAAGGTTGCTTGTTATTCACAAACCTGGGAAAAGCTATAGGAAGTAACTCCAGTGTTGCCTTTAGCCATGTTAACAATAAAACTGTTCCCAGCAATAGGACCTCCGCCTTATGACCAAGACCATCTCATGTACTACTGTTTTAGTAACAAATTCCCCTCAGCGTATTTTTACAATATCAAACAGTCAAACAGTGTGCTACTACATGCCCATATCAGATTACCTTGTGCAAGCTTTTAAACAAGGGGAACATGTATACTTATCATGTGTGTTGTGATTACCTGTATTAACTAGGCTAACAAGGTTTGACTGGCAGCAACAGTGAGAACTCCAGGAATGTGTCAGGTGCCGTAAACTACTTGTGAATATTAATATACTGTGTTTCAGAATTTGAGATTTTTACATTCCAATACACTAAATGCCCAAATGTTTGTGGACAGCCCTTCTTATTAGTGAATTCAGCTGCATTAAGGGGCACTCACTGTTAACACAGGAGTTCAGATGCACACACAGCTTGTATAGTCTCCATAGGAAAGCACTGACAATAGAACAGGATGCTCTGGAGCAGCCGCAGGTCACAATGTCCAATGCCAAGCGTAGGCTAGTGGGGTATGAAGCCCCCCAGCAGTGAGCTATGGAGCAGTGGAACTGCATTCTCTAGAGTGATGGAGCACCAACCAGTACCTTTGGGATGAGTTGGAGTGGCATTTGTGATCCAGAACTAATCATCCAACATCAATACCTGACCTCACTAGTGTTCCCATGGCTAAATGCAGTTTAAATCCTCACAGCAATGTTTCAACATTTAGTGTACTGCCTCCCCCGAAGAAAGACAGTTACTGCAGCAGAGGGGGACAACCCCCATTTAATACTCTTGTTTTTGGAAGAAACATTGGATGAGCAGGTGTCCACTAACTTTTGGCCGTATATTGTATTTTGTGCCTCACAACAGTAGTTAAGATCATTTTCAGAACTGTGTATTAAAGTTAAACTGAGCTTTAAAAAAAAACATGTCTGAGATAAAAGGAACTGCACATCTGCATTTTAAGGAGATGCAGTGTGCTGTTGAGCTTACTGTTTAATTTACATACAGTTAAGAACAGTTTTTAAGGTTGTATATAATATTATGAGTTGCTCTGAAAACTGTTCCTTATTTCTTGTCATTTGCTCCCAACCCTGGTTTTAGGGAACGCCTGCACTGCATATTTTAGGTTTTTCCTCTTCTGTAAAACACCTTTTGTTAAAACAAAATAAGCTTCTTAACAAGCCCTTACTGAGTGGGAGGGTTTAGAGCAAAACCAGACTCTTGTTTTATTTGTAATAATAACTTATGCCAGAGCACACTGACCAGACAAACACCAACAGATTGGTGTGCTATACCTGACTGATTGTTGGGCGGATCTATCTCTTTTTCTCTCTCATATTTGGCTTCCCCTTCTAAGGACAACTGCAAACATCAGAATATTAGTGTTTGTTGCAGTGTTGGTCAGAGTGCTGTGCCTTAAAGATGAATTCCTCTAATTTTTTAAGATTTTAAATAAATTTGAAGTACTAAAGTGTAAACAAGTCATTCAAAGTGTTTTGATGTGAAATGCTTTAGTTCTAGAGAAACTTGGCGAGCGATGTTTATAGGATCCAGATGTCCAAAGTAGACCAAAGACTGATAAAGTATGCAGAGAAACAGATGAACTGTACTCTCTAAGTGTAGAAGTATAAGCTGCACCTATATGGTGAGTGGAGCTGATAAAATGTTGCAGAAATAAGGAAGAGTACATAATGAAGTAGCCGGGTGGTGTATCTTGGCTATTGAATTACGCAAAAAATCAGAAATTTTGTTAGAGTTCCCCTTTATGTGTGTACTTCCATCTATGTTAGAATATACGGTGTTTTATGACTAGTTGCCTGGAAAAGATCCAAGTATGGAGTTTGCTAAAAAAGAATTGATGGAGAATTTTGATGGGCTTTTCACAGCAAAAAAAGTTTATTTTCTAAGAAATAACAACGACAAGATTAGCCTACTGTCTGTGTGTCAACAGCAAATTTGTAGACACCCGCCGAGCTCCATTTAAATTAGCATTCGGTTGCTCGACCTTCAAAATTTCTCCTTACAATATTATTAATTAGTACGTGTTAGGTTTGGGGTTTGAAACATTATAACTCGAACAGCAGTGTTTCTGTTCATGATTTATGACGGTACTACTACGCACTCACGCCATCAAACAATCCAGTGTTTTCATGGCTATCCCGCGCGGTATTTAAACAGTGGGCGGCTTTGTATTTTCTGTTCAATCACAGATAGGGAACTGTGACCGTGCGCGAAGCTGCAGCCAATCCGCGGTAGTGGAGGTTGTTTTGAATGCGCGGTGGCGCGGGCCAATCAGGAGGGTCTCGTGGTGAGATAGCGCGAGGCTGCGCAAGAAGGAAGCGTGAAGTCTCAGCGAGAGCACGGTGGAGATACGCTGTTGGTCGATCAACACCGGTGAGTAGAAATGCTAAATAACGGTTAAAATAACTTCTCTGAATCTTAGTGCAATTTTTTTTACGTTTCATTCGGCGTCTTTTGGTTCATTTTGTGTTTAAAGCACATTGGTTACCGCGCGTTTCTTTTTCTGTATTATTGAAGTTAAGATAAAATAATTTTAAAACGGATTACCTATGCGCTTTTATTCTGCGCGCTGTTTTAAACTACGGATTGTTTCTATCGATTAAAACTACTTGAACGACGCAGTGTGGTGAACATTGTTTTTAAAATGGCTGGCAATGTAAAAAAAAAACAAAAACCTTGCGTTCACAGAAGGTATAGGCCATGATATTTTACCTTAAATGATTGCAAAAGTTTTTCGTTTGACACAGGAAAATAGCGTAGTTTTACCGATTTATTGGCTTTCATTTCAAAAAGCAGTGAGGTGTTAAAACGCAGTTGACAGCCGACGGCAGTAATGGCTGGTTTAGTCTGCCTTTTGTTATCAGCGGGCTGGACTGGCCAAACTTTTGGAGAAACTGCTTCTGCAGCTACTTTTTATACACGGTGCATAGCGTATCGAGTCCTGACGTTTTCGACGTGCTAATAAATCCCCGGAACGTGCAAAAAAGACTTTGGTCCACCATGCCGGTGCGTGTGAAGGGGGTGTGTGAGAGGCTTTGTTAGCCATTCCCTAAGCCTTTCTCCCGAGCGCACTGGAGAGGCCATTTTAATGAATGGAGTCCTATCTATTCAGAGGAAGGGAGAAGCATAGCTGCCTGTAAACCTTATGTCGGTTAACAGTAGATTACAGTAGACTTGGGTTGCGTTTAAAGTGTTCGCGCATTGCTAGGTTAGGAAATAATTTATATAGGCGTTAATGGGCGTTAAATGTAAATGTTTCTGTCATGCCTTTGCATTTCACAAAATGGAAGATGAATAATTCCCATAGTCAACAACTCAGGTGCTTCGCTGTCTTCGTTTTATTTAAGGTGTTTAGTTAGTGCAGTAGTTTAGTTTTTCATGACGGCATAGTATACGTAATTTTAATTTATTTATTCTCTTTTTTTTATTTGGAAGGCTGGGGGCGGTTCTGTGAAGGTGACTAATTTTGGTTGTAATAATACATGAAATCATTGCCTTAAAGGGTTGTGGAACTTAACCTACTGAATTGCTTGTAATTGACAAAGAACTCTTTTATAGGACTAAAAATATTAAAGTGGTCTAAGTGGAAGTCAACCAGCCTCCAAGATGGCCAAAAGTGACCCAGGAAAGCCAAAGGGCAAAATGTCTGCTTATGCCTACTTTGTGAAGACCTGTCGTGAGGAGCACAACAAGAAAAACCCTGGTGTTTCTGTCAATTTTGCAGAATTTTCCAAGAAGTGTTCTGAGAGATGGAAAGTAAGTGCATTTTCTTTGTAGCTAAAGAAAAGGCTGTATTTAAAGCATAGAATCATTTGCATTTATTAGTGTGTCTGCTGTATATTCCAGGTTATGTCTCCAAAAGAAAAGACTAAATTTGAAGACATGGCAAAGCAAGATAAGGCCCGTTATGACCAAGAAATGATGAACTACAACCCAGGCAAGAGGGGCAGAAAGAAGAAGGACCCTAATGCACCTAGGAGGCCACCGTATGTGTGCTCCTGCTAGTAAATAGGATGAGGATATGTAACGAAGTAACATTTTTAAAATAAGCAATCATTAGATATCTGTGGTTTTTAATATAATCAATGCACTTTCCTTTTCATTTCTTTTAAAGGTCGGGATTTCTCTTGTTCTGTGCTGAGCGCAGACCCAGTATCAAGGCTCAGAACCCCAGCATGGGTATTGGCGATGTAGCCAAGAAACTTGGTGAGATGTGGAACAATATGTCAGACTCTGAGAAACAACCCTTCCTTTCACAGGCCAACAAACTCAAGGACAAGTATCAGAAGGTGAGGTTTGACCTAATTCTGTTGTGAATGTAAATGGACAGAGATTAGCTTAAAGTCCTTTCAGTCTGTGGGTCATATGGTAGTGTCCTTAGCAAGGCAATCCTAGTTCAGAGTCTAAGGGCTATGGCTTTTACTGTTACTGACTACCAGTGACCTCCAGCTGCCAGTGGCTTGTGACGGTCCAAGCTGTTTCACTGTAGAGGTAGATGAAATAAGCTTTTCCTTTCTTTCAGGACATGAAAAACTACAAGGCAAAGGGTAAAGCAGGCAGTGGGTCGTCAGCAGGCAAATCAAAATCCAAAGATGACGACGATGAAGACGAAGAGGATGAGGAAGATGAGGATGATGAAGAGGAAGAGGAGGAGGATGATGATGACTAAAGGACTTTGCAACTATCCTGTTATCAGATTAGGTATACAATCACTGCCAGTTTGATTTCAGATAAGGTCTGCCAGGTGCTAGCTAAAAGGCCATACTCTTAGCACCCACGGGGATTCTCAATCTGTGCAAGCTAAGATTATTTTCAGATACTGGTTTTGCTTATGCTTCCCCCCACCACCAACCTCTTAAGTGTACTGCAAAAGAAGGGGTATATTGTCTTTGCTATTCAGCAATAAGTATATGGTTGAGTAAGAATATACATGTTAAGCTGTTTAAGGTTGTGTGTTTCTATGTGGTTCTTAACTTAGAAATTCCATTTTATTTTTCTATTCTCCCAGCTTCAAATTGCACAATTCAAGGTTGGTAGAAAGGAGTAGCAAAAGTCAGGGTTTTGAGTCTTGGTGAAGATTTGCCAGAGGCTGAATAGCAGTCAGCACATTTCCACTATGTAATGCATTGAAAGCTGTTTGTCCGGTGTTTTTTTGAGAATTTCGGATAGACCTATTGAGCCTTTTGTGTGGGCCTTGGCTTTGCCCAGAGGAACGTTTAACACTTCTAGATGCATAAAGCCCTTATTTGTGCTTTGATTTATTTGGGTTGTTTTAAATGCCTAGATAACACTGTGATTTAAAATGACAGCATTTTTAGATCTAGTGTGTGTGATGTGACTTATGTAATAATGTCAAATGCGTGAGTGGTGTTTGGATTAAAATGGTGTTCGCTTATTGATTTGATGCTGTTGTATGGATATTTATGGTAATAAAGTTATGTTAATGGTGCCAGACATGATGTGGGTAATTCATTCAGCATGACCCTTAAAGTGCAGCACTAGATAGTAGTTATTTTAATGGTATTCATTGGATATACTGGCCACTTTTAGAAACTCCTGCTTTGTAGGTCCACCTTGCCATAGTTGGAGCAGTTGTCACCAACCCTCCTGGAGATCTACTTTCCTGCAGAGTTTCTTTTCAAGCTGCCTCAAGAACTTCTGAAGACGATAATGATCTAGAGCAAGTGTTGCAGATTGTGGTTGGAACTAGGCCAGGGGTGCACAACTCTGGTCCTGGAGGGCCAGTGTCTGACAGAGTTTGGTGATTTTTTTTTTTTACCTGCTCAAACACCTCATTTCACTCGCCTGTTAATTGCCAGGTTTTGTGGGTGTGTCTGAGTAGGGAACTACCAAAGTTTGCTGGCCCTCCAGGACCAGAGTTGTGAATCCCTGAACTAGACTCTGCAGAAAGGTAGATCTCCAGGACCATGGAGTTGGTGTATCCCAGGGGTGTCCAATATTATCCTCCAAGGGTCTGTGTGGTTGCAGGTTTCCACTCAAAATGAGCTGGAGCATACCTGATTCCACTTGTTTAATCTAGTGTCTTCAGACTGTCTTCAAAACATGTGAAGAGTCCAGCAGAGTTTGGTGGTTTTTCCAACATTCAGATAATATCTTATCAACAATGGTCCTGTGATCAGAGACTTACCAGTGAATTGAGCAGAGCATGAGAATCCATGGGTGTCTGTAATTGTAGACCTGTTTCTGATGTGGCTGGTATGTGTGAATGTAAGAATCCCTGACTTTCATGCAACAGCAGCAATGAACCACAAGATGTCACAAGAGCTTTCAGCAGAGGAGCTTGATCATTATCAGATGTCTAATACTCGCAGGTATTATTGGTGCATGTATGTGACAGAGAACAGCAATGTTGATACACAGTGAATGTCTCTCATTTTCTTGTCCTACCACCCACCACCACCTGTTAAGCAAAGGAAATTAGAATTTATTAGGCTAGGCAAAGTCATTCTCATCTGCCAGTGTCTTATGTGTTCATTCTTTAAGTGGCTGCAATCAACAGCTGTTTTTTCGTTTCTTAAACTGTCTGTTGGGTCCCATACCTAGTTATCTAGCTATAGATTGTTGACCTCTAACTTTCTCCTTTTTTGTCAAAGAGCTAGTCTTTTCCAATAGCCCCTGGGTGGATGGTTGTGGGTTTTTTTTTTGTTTGTTTTGTTTTTGGCTGACTGACCATTCTGCCTGCACAAAGCATGCTGCAGAGCTTGTAACCCTGCAGCACTGGATTTCTTGACCCACTCAAACCAGCACATCTGACCCCTGTTATATTCCTTTCATAAGCTCTGAGTTTTTTTCAACATCTTGGAGATTCTTGACAACATATCTCCACCGCTGCACCAGATTGAAAATGATCAGGTGAAATTGGGTCATTCATGTGGTCAGTGTGTTTCAAGAATGCTTTTATATATCCAATGTATGATTTCTTTGCATCATATTAGGAATTTATAAGTAAGTAAGATCAGAACAGTAAGAACGTAGATCTAAGTTACGACGGACCCTGCTCACTGTGAGCATAGAATCATAGCTCCTCCAAAAACACATCTTTATGGATTCAGACTCTGGTAAAGACAGCCAGGCCTTGCTATAATTCCATAGCTGTGGTGGTTAAGGGTGCAGCTTGTGCCGTTCTGTCATTCTCCCAGCCAGTTATCCGTGTAGCACATTCCCCATAAACCCCTGCTCTCATCTCATTCCCCTTTGGAAAGGTGCTGGCCTTCTAGCCTCCTCTCAATCCTCTCTCATAAGTACAAGCACACAAAATCTGCCTGCAGTCTTAAAAATAAAGGTGCCAAAATAGCTTCTCATTTTATGAATGAGATGTGTGAGAACCTTTTTTAAGTTAACAGAACTGCCACATAATGTAAAGATTCTATACCAACTGAGAGTTACCTAAATGCTTACATTCAAAGCAGCGAGCCCTTTGTGTTTTTAAAAATGTATTACAAATTTAATGCTAAACTAGATTTGCCTTTCCTAAAGGAAATACAGTCCTTGCGAGGCAAGAAAATATATTTCTAAGGAGAGAGTGACAGAATTCAAATGCAATTTTTAGATCTAGCAATGTGCAGTAGGAGACGCTCAGCCAATCAGCTCCAAAGCCATTATGACATAATCAGCTGTGGAAGTTACCAAGTATATATGGAATTATGTACATATTATGAACTGTTGGGGTGCAGGATCCAGTATTTAAATTCCTACGTAGTGCACCATGTAGGGAGCAGGGAGTCATTTGAGATTCACCCTCAGTGGGAGAAAAGGGGTGCCGTTGGATTGGTGCTAAATAAGACTCCGTGCTGATTTGGTAACCAAAAAGTATAAAGCAAAAGTTTCTGCATTAAACAGTGCAAAAACTGTGCATATGTTCCACTGTCATACAACAAAAAGTTAAGAAGTTCATGAAATGGCTGCAGTATACAGCAATGGACGACCAAATGTTCATCTCCTCATTCAGCAGTCCATGGTTACTTGGGAACGATACCACACGCTAAAGGAACTATATTTCTTGGCGGAATACCTATTTATGTTGATTATTTTTAATTCAAACTTTTTTATAAAATCATATGTTATAAAATCATATTTTATGTTGGCCGCGTTGTTCTTAAGAACACCCTTCCCAGTGATAAAATCGCAGTAATGCATGGCCTCTCATGGCTTATTGCTTTAATATACAGGAGTAGCTGCTGTGATTTTAATACTGTAGAATTCACACTGTCTCAATATTCCATTATACTAGTGAACACATTTTAACTAAAATATTTTTTTAAAATATCAAAGTTATGAAAATTAAAAATTACACATCTCTCACTGGCATTAGCTACAAAACGAAGGTTGAACGGAGTCTGTACATTAAGCAGTTTGGGCCGAACTGATTGCATTAAAACAGAAAAAGCACTGTAATAAGTGCTTGCTCTGCTCTTGCATTGTAATGTACTAAAACAGCTACTAATTAAATTCATTTTGTACACAGGAACAAAACAAGCAGAAATATCACTTGTCTTCCTAGACCCTAGACATGATTCTAACGGCCTATTCTAAGACCTATAGCTCCAGTAAATAACAGTCCCCAGGTCAAGAAGCATTCAGACAATAAAAAATTCATAATGAGCCTCAACTGCAGCACTTGTGTGAGTCACCTGCCTTTAGGGGTCACGCTCTGGAATTGATAGCCTGACGCTCGCATAATGTGAACCGCTCCCTGCATATTTTACACAATGCAAGCAGAAATGAATGCAGGGTGATGCCGTTTCAATTGTGTGCCAGTGGATTTGTTGCAGTGTCTCATGCCAAGGCTATTAGCAAAGTCGCAGTTGCAGAAATTACACCTCTCGTTTGTTGGCCGGCAGCAGCCTACTGCACGCTGCCTATTCAGCAGGTCGCTGTAAAGGCTTAATGTGGTTTTATGAAAAATAATCACTTCACAGCTCCAATGTTCATATTCGGAAACATGAAGCTGGGACTGTTTTTGTATTATTATTATTAACAATGGAAAGATCCCTTCACACGTCACTCAGTTCTGAAATGACAATTTTCAGAGTTCTGTTGACAGAACTGGTGATGTTAGTTATGATAACCCTGACAAAGATCAAACAGATTTTTTCCCGCGTCTGTTGCGTTCTGATACCGACCTTTACATGCCTTGGAACTACATGTGTAATTCATAACTGGCTCAGCATAATCTCAGGCACGTTCCGTTTAAATAAACATGCTGCTTGCGTCCTCCATCCACAGTGAGGATTCAGAGCACAGAGGCGCGAAGACTGTGCAAATTTGAATTAGCTTCACAGTGAGAGGAAACATATCCATCAAGGCCCGGCAGCAATTAGCCCCAATCCCATCTTATTCCTGCGCAATGCGTTCAATGGAACTAACGCCTGTTAAGGCAAATGGGACTCGGACTGGAAAAGCAACTGAACGGTGACTAATTGAGACCACGCTATGGCTCTGCAGCGGCGCCGATGCAGAATTTTAAGTGCATGTGAGGGAATTCAGATGGAGAACAAGGGGAAAAGTGGAATGGAATTTACAGTAGTAACACTGCGCGTGCAAGGGCTGCAGGCACGTGGCGGGTGAGATGTTTGAATCTTACCAGTGTGTTGCTTAGGTACCATGAGCTCGAGGGTCCAACTCAGTGGCTGAGAGTTTAATTTTAAAGGTGGCCTGATTACAAGTTTGGTGGTTATCTAGTCTTATGCAAGCACTGTTAATGCTTGATAGCATCAGACTTTGCTATAGGGAGGCTGACAACTAGCCTTGACAACTAACCACAACACAGGATTGCTTAAATTGTATTTAGCTCTCTACACTGTACAAGTTGGTGTAATTTAACAGTGAACACTGTGACTTTGTGTATTTTGTTCATTTGTTGCACTTCCACTGCAGTCACCTTGTCTATGCATCACACATTACCCTATTGTTGATTGTTTTGTTTATTGTTTAGTATATTTTATTCTATTATTTATTTTACGGC